TCGTCGGAGCATCTCTGGGACAGGAGGGTAGAGATGTCATTTGCAAGAGAGAAGTTGTGGCACAGGCCGTCGGAGCGGGTGCCGAGCCAATGGCGGAACGTCCCAGCCACCCGCATCCCCAGCCATCGCGACGCGACGCGATGCGACGCTCCATCCCGTCCAGACCTCAGTGATTTCAGCACCAGCACCAGCACCACCACCAACACCAACTCAGCATCCCGCCCAGCCTCTTCACCACCACAAAGATGGCTGTGACCATGGCAAATATAGATTTCGCCCTGTACGAGGCTCTTAGCCCTGTACACACTCCCACACTCCTGCACCTCTTGCCCAGGCAACCACGCAATCCACCCTGACCTCGACCGTTGCCAGGACAGCTTCTTTCTGCTACTCACGAGGAGCAGACGGCCCAGGCATACGCACAAACCCCCTTCATCAGCCTACACGAGCTCTTGCTCAACAGAATGCGCTTCACTCCATCCTCCGTCCTGATCGCGACAACCTACTTCTCCTTCTACGCCAAAGCCCTCCCGGTGCCGAACCCGGTGGTCTCGTACCAAGTGGTCGATGTTGGAGGCCCAACGACGACAGAAGCGCCCAGCACCCTCGTCCAATCAGTCACCAAATCCTCAAGCCCTCAGACAATCACGCTATCATCGCCGGCTACAACTGTCACAGAGGCCCCAGTTACCGTAACGATATCGCCATCAAGCGAAGCCACGACAACAGAGAGATGGACGGTCACAATCGGAGGCACTGAAAGGCCCGCATACTCTGAGCCAGCAAGCTCAAGCTCTCCCCTCCCGATACTCTCCAGCTCCTCATGCTCTCCACTCCCGACACTCTCCAGCTCCTCATGCTCTCCACTCCCGACACTCTCCAGCTCCTCAAGCTCTCCACCCCCGACACTCTCCAGCTCTCCAAGCTCCTCCAGCTCTGGTATCACCTCGCCCGTAGCAGCCACCGACACCCCGACGGTCACCCAACCGGCGGCAGCATCATCACCAGCGCCAGCAGCGCCACCAGCTTACACATCCAACAGCAGTCCATTGCCGAGCTCCTTGAGGCCTGCGTTCCCAACGACCATCTCACAATGGAACTCGACAATGGGTGACAGCGTCGGACCACCTGGTACAAATACCGCCGCTTGGTCTCCAAAGTCGACGGGCTGGCCACACTTTGTCTACTCGCCTCAGTAGTAGAAGCGGCTCGTGGGCAGCACAGGCACTGTTGGATAACAAAAGCGATGGGCTCCAGCGACCGGCACCGGCGCATATCAGAAGCGATGGACTGCCCTTCCTGGCATTGCCGCTGGTCACATCGCTCAGCGGGCTGCCCCATTCAGACTGACAAAGCAAGAGAAATGCTAATGGGACGATAATCGGATTGATGAACGAATGACTGTACGCGTAATGTGTTGCATGCTGGATACGAGTGACTATTGCAGGCGATTAGCGACGGAGTGGGTGTGCTTCTTTCGACGGGGTAATATATGACTCAAGAGACAGACGAGACAGACGTGGCATTGGAAACGGCGTAATCGACGGCTCTGCTAGTGCAGCGGAAAGAGCGTCTAATGTGTATCGCGAAAGCCAAACAATGAACAGTAAATAGAGATACTGATCAAGAATCGGCAGACATAAAATTTCAGTAGTAGAGTAAAAATTCAGTAGTAGAGTAACGCGCCTTATACGTATTCCTGGTATCTCATCGGACCGCTTCGTCTCACTTTATGTTCCTGCACATTCCCTACATGGGTCGCGAAGTTGCTATCGCGTCATGTCCGCGGCTGCAGGACTTTTTACGACCACGACAGGTCTTTCAGGGGCTGGGGACCGTCGGAGAGGGAAGAGGGAAGCAATTGCCATGGAATCGTATTTTGGAAAGTCTGCCGATTTCAAGAACCATGTCCTGGATATTTAACCCCTATCGATATGTGCACCTGAAAGACGCCAGGACTGCAAGGATATTCCCTCAAGGGACCAGGACGTTCTGGTTGCCCATACCCTAGCTGTCGCTTGGTCCCAACGAGTAGCATCACTGTACCGCATCATTTCGAAATAGACGACCTTCCTACGGTACTATTTCCGGGAGGGTTGATAGTTGTGGAAGGCGAGTCGGCGACTACATGGACAGCTACGGGGAGGAAGAAGGGGATTTCGAGATTTCGAGGTTATTTTGCGGGTTATGGGAGTCCACGCAATGGCTCTGTGACTTTGGTTGTGCCGTGTGCCGGATAGGAGAGAGGGGAGCGGCATGATCATGCCTTCGAGAGCTCGTAGTGGCCGTATGAGTTGGCTGTTGTCGGAGACGAGGTCGAGAGAAGGCGGAATCTCAAGATTTCCGACTGATTACTGGAATGCGCATGGACGTTGGAGCACTGCGGTTGAAGGAAGACCAGAAGAGATGTGTCTGCAACTCGAGGTCACATCGTCGCTACGTAAGGCCCATATTCAGGGGCTCGGTCATGCTAAGTCATCATGAGAAAAGACAGCCATCTATGCCAATCCTAAGGTACTCTTCAGATCTCCACGATAAAACCCGTCTCCATCAACTTATCCGATGGGACTTTCAGATTGTCCATCTTCTTGCGGGTGTTCTCGCGTATGAAGAGGAACGTCTTCACCAGCAGATAGCGGAACCAACTGGTCTTCTTGCCGATGACCATTTCCTCCTTGCCAACCACGTAGAGAATACGCTTGCCGAAAGCCTTCCGCACCACTGCGAGATCCTCGCTATCTTGTGGAAGAGTCGTTTCGATTTCGGCTTGGACCACGCGCGCCAATTCGTCGGTGACGAGATCTTGCATGTAACCGTAGCGGGCAACCACGCGGTAGCAGTGAGGCAGGCTATTGAGCTTCCGGACGATGAATCGCTGCTCTGGATCCACCGTGGGATACTCGACGGCACGAAGATGGAAGAAGACCGTCACCTCGTAGGCGGAAGCAAGCTTGTTCAGGAATTGGCTGACAACCATGGGCGTCATGTCACCCGTCTTGTCGAAGAAGATGCCGGCGCCGTGGATGATTGAGAGCTCCTCTCCAGGAGCATTGTCATCAGAGCCGACCAAGACGAACTCATTGTTATCTCCTCGCTTAACGTAGCTGGAGAGAGGTCGGCTATCCTTTCTCTCCGCTGACCACTGTTGCTCTTTGCCGAAGCGCCATATTATGAAGATAGCAGCGAGGACCGAGGCCAGCGTAAGGGTGAACCAAGCTCCATCGGGGACCTTGGTCAAGGCAGATGAGAGGAAAGCTCCGTCCAGGGCAGAGAACGCGAGCCACGGGACAATCGTCGACCACCATGGAAATTTCCAGACCAGGAGCGACACCAAAGTCGTCATCTGGGTATCGAAGAAGGTGACAAAGATGACACAAACGCCGTAAGCTTGGCCTAGTGAAGTCGTGTTACGGAAGACGGCGGTGACAACGACTGTCCCGATGCAGAGCAGGTAGTTCACCAGCGGGACGTAGAGCTGGTTGTGATACTTCTTCGAGGTATGCTTCACCTCAATTTGAGGGAAGTATGAAAGCTTGACGATTTGGGCTAGTAGCTGGAATGTCGCCGTGATGATAGCCTGGGAGGCAACGATTGCTGCGAGGATGGCAAGAATGAGTGTGAAGATCCTTGAGCCTACAATACTTCAGTTGATCCAGTTTACATCGTTTCACAGGATTTGATACATACCTCGACCGCCTGGAACCGTGGCGAAAACTGGATTCTGAGCTGCAACTGGGTGGTCCACTATGTATGCCGCTTGTCCGATGTAGGTCAATAGAAGACAAGGTAGGCAATATCCGATCCAGCTCATTTGGATAGCGCGCATGCTGAAAGCCCCAAGGTCGGCGAAGAGAGCTTCGACTCCTGTGAAGGCAAGTAACACACCACCGAGGCTACGCCAACCCGCCTCGCCGTTTCTGATCAGGTAGCCGAATGCCTCTCCAGGGTTAAAGGCCACGAAGACTCCTGCATCCCATTTGACGATGTTGTAGATACCGAAGCACGCCAGTAACATGAGCCACATCATAATGATAGGCGCAAATGTGACGCCGATTCGGGTAGTGCCCAGTGGCTGAATCATGAACAGAAGAACCAGGATTGCGCAAGTGGTGCCGACGATCACACCATTGCTGATGTTAACTGGATTCTCAGGGGTACCAGCGGCCAGTGAAATGCCTTGGACAGCACCGAGCACTGACTGGGCGGGAGTGAGAACACCATCGGACATAACCTGCGACTGTCAGTATGAATTTAGGCAGCTTGCCCCATCCCCAGTGTTTCTGCAAAGACAGCCAGTGCTGCCCGAGGATCAAATCCGCTACTGTGCCTTGGAAATATCTTCCTCTGCTGCTGTGCTCGATCTGCCGTGCTTCGTCTCTCCCGCTGCTGCTGCTGCTGCTGCTGCTGCCACTCACTCCGCTTCAAAAAAGACAATAGAAAAAGATTTGACATACCATGGAAACGGCGTAAACGCCCATCGCTTTCAGAATGCCTTTGAAGATCTTGCTGTTCTCGAGAACGTCGCGGAGGCGCTTGTTTCCCGGTGAGAGATCGTTGGTAAGATGTCGATCGATACGGACAAGAGCCTTTTCCCGTGGGTCTCTGTTGGTGATGTTGGCATAACGGGACAGAAGTGAGTAGCAGGAAAATGTGCCGCCCTCTCCCTCATTGTCGGCGTTCAGAATGATGACGACGTATTTCAGTGTGACGATCAGGAGTAGAGACCAGATGATAAGAGAGAGGACACCGATAATGTCTGCCCTGAAGTGAGGTCAGCCAGTGCGTGCCTGTACGAGGGCGCTGGGACATACCGGGATGGAGAGATGTTCGGATCGGTGAAGGTGGACGAGAAAACGTAGAGAGGAGAGGTGCCGATATCTCCGTATATGATCCCAATGCTCTGGTATGCTAGAAAGAAGAGTTGCTTCTTGGTAAAAGTCTGTTTTTGCTTGACGTCTGCCGGGTGGTGCAGCGCCTCCTCGTCGACGACTCCACTATTCTTGATAGAGGAGCGGCGATGGTCCACTGACCGGCCCCGTGCACTGTAGACGCCGAACGAGTGCGCAGACGTGAAGGCGATGCCATGATCGAGAGTGTTGGTCTCGGGAACGGGGCCATCTTCGCTCCGCCGGGGGAAGTGAGCCTGGTCCGCAAAATGGATTACCGGAGTCGCAGCGCTCTTCTCATCTGTAGAACCGTCCAAGGTTGGGTCGGGCGCACAAGACGTCTCCGAAGAAGACATCTTTGCCATGCTTCTCAGCGGCTGTTGGATGGCACGGTGGTCGATGTTAACGTTAAGAAGAAGTGTCAAGCTTGCACAAGATATCCAGACGGCGCTAATCGCTAGCCCGATTGCCTTGCGGGAGAAGCCGCAGCGAAGTTTTGGAAAGAACGAGGCTCAGGTGAGGATGTGCTCTAATAGGCAACGCAGCATGCGAGCAGCGTGCCTTGTACCAGGGACATAGGCACACCGTGGCCGTCTGATTGGCCAGCACTGCTCAGAGCGTTAGCCAACGTGCTAGTAGCGTTTAGTGGATAGCGCAAACTCTGAGAGTCCGCCCCTCTCCCTGGCCTATCCGCAGTGCTTTCATTCACTTACGACTTGGCTTTCGTCTTGGCTTTTCAGTGAAATGTCGCGAGGCAGAGTCTGGCGACCTGGGAAAGGGTTTTGAGAGCTGTACGCATAAGAAAAGTGAGTCTGACGAACTGCACATACCTCGGAGAGCTACGTACCTCTGTCGAGCGGCTCAATGCCGTGAAACCGCGATGAGGCATTTATGCCCCAGGTCTAGCCCGCGCTGTGATATCCAGACATGGGGCGTAGGTAGCTGCTAGTGGGGGATTGCGTCTGCAAGATTCGGCGGTCTGTTAGCGATTCCTTTAAATCCATGGATCATCGTTTTTGACGTCAAATTTTTTCCGCCGTGTCCCAGGGGTTCTTCTGAGCGAGCGACACGCGCAAAGACAGATCGCGTATAAGTCAATATGTCTGCAGACTTTTGCCGCATAAGAAGGTTATCTCAAGGTGAAGCATCATCGATGCATAATTATCCGACTCCCTGTTGTCTCTGGCTGACTATCATCATCCTCGAGGAGAGCATTCGGCCCTCTTGTATGAAACAGTTAAAAGACGGTTATGTCTACAGCAACTCCGACCAAGGGAAGTACATCTCGAAAGGTATTACCAATGATCTGCTACCTTTCGAATCCTTTGGGCTTTGTTCCGCTACCATCATTTGGGAGATATTGGTCTCCAACGTGAAGGACGCGAAATAATACTGCCGTATGCAACGATTTTGCCCAAGTGTAAGACCATCTCAGCGGAGGTCGCCTCTGATCAGCTGCTACCCGACTCCCTCTGGCCTCTGATTCGCAATTGAACATAAAGATAACATGGCCTGGGAGGCGGAGACGCCGTCGAAACTAGATTTGTGTGGGGAGCCTTCCAGAGTGTAGATCTCTCAGGTCGTCTGAATAACATGCTTTCCGAGGATGATCTTTGTTCGCTACCATCCTTGTAGATAACGTGGCCTTCAATGCAGAGATGCCGCAATTCAGTCGGTCTATGATACCCTCCAGATTGCAAGATTGCAGATTCCTCAGATCATCTCGAGAGCATGCATCGCCGGTCTGCTACTGTCCGCCTTTCAGTAGCCTCGGTTTTGCTACCATTCTTGGAGATCAACTCGTCCTCCAATACGAGAGCATAGCGGCACTCAATCTGTCCGTGGTATCTCCCAGGATTGTAGATTTGTTGGATCATCTCTCGGGAATCCATCACTGGTTTGCTGCTATGTCCAACTGCCTGTGGCCTCTGTCTCCAATCATATACTTGGAAGGAAGGTAATCTCCTAGGTCGCCGCCGTACAAGGAATTTCGGCAGACAAATCCCATGTATCTGCCATTGCAAGACTGCCCATGGCTCCAGTCTCTCCAGGAACAACGAAGAAGATGATTTGGGTGACTCTTGCCTGACATTTTACAGCACCCGTTCTCGCTAGCGAACTCGTGCGGGGAAGAGCCTTCATGTTCGGCACTTAGGAAGTCATCCCTGAGAGAGCGTCCACTGATCTGCCGATGTCCGATTATCTGTGGCCCTCGTCTGCGCTTGCATATCGAATAAGAACGTAAGCTTCCAGGTCGTTGCGTTGGAAGGATACCTCAATGGAAAGAATTGTTGATATACTACTTTCCAACTACATTGGAAGCCGTTGGAGTGGTAATCTGAGAGGGCTCACGGGGTTTGGTGCCAGCTGAGGTCCGTGTATTTCGCCGTGAGTGGCACTCCGAATAAGTGCACATCCAGTCAGTGAAACCTGTGACGAGGTCGAAAACTGCCAGTTGCAGGCCTCAAGAGAAAACCTGTCAACATTACTGTACGTGAATTACCTACTGGCACACGGTACCCCTTCAGAGCGTCCCTTGCATCGAATTGCACTCCAACAAACGCCATGTCCTGCTTTCCTCGGCCGTTTACGTGTCCGCGTAAGGAGTGTCTCCATCGTGATGTCCAAAACGCCGCCGCAATGCATTGTATACAGTTTCGAAAAGATTTCTCATCCACATCTTCTAGTCCCATCTCATCACCAAAGTCCTGCTACACCGGTGAACCATCCAAAGCTGAGAACTGTAACGCCGACCATGGCAAAGATCGCCCACATGGTTTGCCTCTCTGCCTGTGTCAGGGCCGAGTTACAGGTCGCGCACACCCAGTCGCTCATCGGCGTGTATGGCTGTGGGGAGTACATGCCGAAGGTGAACTGGTCGTAGGTTCCGAGATAGCCAGGCGACGCTGTAGCACTCACGTCCTTGGCCGCATCGTGAATGATGAGGGTGTAAGTCTCCGTGAGCAGTGGTATCGTTGCGTTGGCCTGGTATGAGCGTGTATCCCAGACAAGGGTCTGGGTCGGCTGTACAGTTTGATTCATTGCGATGGTGTAGGTTGCCTGGTTCAAGCTGCATGAAGCAAGCACATCAATGTAAGATGGTGTAATGGAGAGCGAGGTGTAATTCCACGCGAAGGTGATGTAATTGTCGATCTTGAAGTACGAGGTCGTCAGCGCGTTCGGCGTGATCATCGAAACACCGCCAGCAGGCAATCTTGCATCGAATGTGGTCGTTTTACTGCTCTTTCCAGTGCCGGTGCTGGTTCCGGTCTGCTTCGCAGTTCCAGTGGTCTTCTCAGACCCAGTAGCGGTACCCGTTTTGGTGCCGGACTGCGATGCGTCTGTAGTCTTCGATGCATCGCCTGTTGATGTTGCATCCGTAGCAGAAGAGGACTCCGTGGTAGCAGTATTTCCCTGCTGACCTGTGAATGACAAGTCAAACTTTGAAGAAGTGTCCTGTCTCCTCACGAGTGGCTCGATCTCGTTCTTCACTGCCTGAAAGACTTCTAGGTTCCATCCTGACGGCCAAGCAGAGGAGAGGGATGAGAACAAGAGGACGGAGGCGAAGACTTCGGCGGGCCGCATTGCGACGATTCTACGGCGTCTTAACGCTCAAATGTGGTGTGTTGTGCCGGTATATGTGCTCGAAACGAAGTAGATGGTGCTTTCGCGATGGCGCGGAGTCGTGGTGATATGGTCTGCAGAGGCTGCGCGTCCCTCGTACTCGCCCGGTGGGGATTTCAACGTCTCGGCGAAAGCTGCCACTCCCCTAATTACAATATGATGCGATTCTCAAGCGAGCGACTGAAGAAGCTGTCACGTGTGACTTGTGGTTTCCGTCGGAACGGTGGAGGGTTCTGATGCGTGTCGATGGGATGAAGGTGAAGATTTGAGGTGGGCGAGAAAGGTTGTCAACACTAAGGCAGGAGACGTTGCGGAGACGAGCTTCGATTGGGATGATCCCTGCGAACCTATTTTGGGCGGCTCGTGCACGGCAACGGCCAAGCCCTTTTCTGTCGCCTCGTATTGAAATGTATACGTCGATTCCAACCTTCTTCTCCTTTGCCACCATCAGGCCTTCTCGGTATCCTCTCCGTACAAAATGGTAGTGGACATCGCATTCGTGAACCCGTCGTGGGCGTGATGTTTTGTTATGCTTGAAATCTGTACTTGAGACTCGGGACGGCAAGATCGACGCCACTAGTCAGGCTTCTTCCTTGTTCAGGCCGTTCTCGCCGCTATTGCACGCCGGTGAACTGCAACAGGACGATTCGAATAACGGTCAGAAGCTGGGTCGAAACCTGGGCGCACGCGAACAACATCTGCAGCTGCGAAACAAACCACCAACGCTGGACGATTCATCTACGGTTCAAATGTAATCCATCGGCCTGTACACACACGCTCCGGCTTTTCGAAGATCAATCTCCGTTCTGCACTACAAGGGCAATACTCCCTTCAATCATAGTCTGCCAAACTGTCGTCGAAGACTGGAGCAGGATCCCGTCCACGACGATGAAGGCCGCGCATGGTGTACTGACAGCTAGATCCCCAGGAGTGATACCGGCAGTCAAAATGGCATAGAGCTTAGAGCCTGGCCCCGTAGCCCAAAACCGCGATGGAGCTTTCGAGTGTCGTTGACGTTGACTCCAGTGCCCGCATCACCACGTTACTATCCCACGCTAAGGCGGCGAAGGCAAGAAGCTTGTTACCCATCCCAGTGATAACAGCCAGAAACACGTTCGGCTTCAGTTTGTCCCAGGATTGCACCGGCCGACCATCCGAGACTTTCAGTACAATCGCTGTCGTTGGAATACTTAGGGGGACGAACAAGTGTGAGACGAAGCCGAGTATGGGTCCTTTACGGCAGTATGAAGTCTTCATGCAGTGTCGAGTCGCATGGTCGGATTTGGTGCTGCTGGAGGCTCCAGTTGAAGTGGTTTCTCAGAAAAGGCCGACCTTTTGCGCTGCAAAGGCCTTCTTGTAATCGCATGGCGTGGCTCGTGTCCATCGCTCAAGAGCAGTGACATAAGTTGGCGTTATTGCTCCTTTTGATGCACGACGTTCGTGTTGGATCTGATCACCGCCCGTTTCCTTTGTCTCTATTCTCGAGCTTTTGACGTGCTGTGAGAGTAGAGCCTGCCCCAAGCGCGAAACCAGTCGAAACACGCTCGTCCAGGTTGTCTGGGGCAATGTACGACCGCTCCACAATTTTGACGTTCCTGTGATCAGTGACGCCACAATAGAGGTTGCACAGTGGCACTGAGAGGAGCGCGACCGGAGACGTGCAGCTACGTAGCTGGCAGCGCCCGCTCCGGTGTGACATTCATCTGGGAGATAGGACATCACTTGCATTAGTTGAGATCTTCATAATTAGGGACTTTCCAGATCCACGGCCAAAAGGAAGAGAGGTAGTTATAGGCAGGGACACACGAAATGCCGTAGCTTACCTCCTATCCTGGGACAACATGTTGTTCGGAGGTGACAAAAAGTACTTCAAATGGTCCACGAAGTTGAGCACGTGAAAGGGAAGGCTGAGCTCTGACCAGTGACGCCATCGTTTCATGTTTGTGTGGGCAGGTGCATCGAACCATCCCCTCCTTCTCCATCCTTTTGCAAGACCAGGTCCTGCAGACGAAGGTGTGAACCGGACATCGTCACTTCTGACAGTTTCCTTTCTTGCTTCCTTTTTCGACCAAATTACTTCGAGCATCGCACAAACTACACGCACGAAACAGCGCTTGTCCAACTACTTCTAGGATCCAGGCCAAAACAGAATGTCGAGTACAGAGGAAGCAGCTGCGGTGCCAGCCTCGCAGAAGGGCTCATGGACCGGTTTCCTCAAGGTAAGAGAGACAGCACATGGAACTTTGCAATGGCTCTAACTGTAGAAGCAATTGGCGTCTTTCAACGGCGACCTCTCGTCCATGACGGCCCCAGCCTGGATTCTCTCCACCTCCTCGCTCACTGAGTTCTCCGGCTACTGGGCTGAGATGCCTCACCTTCTTGTCGCACCGGCAGCCGAGAGAGATCCTCAGAAACGGGCCATGCTTGTGCTGAAGTGGTTTCTGAGCACACTCAAACAACAATACGCCAGCAGAAATGAGAAGCTAGGGAGTGAGAAGAAGCCTCTCAATCCTTTTCTAGGCGAGCTCTTTCTCGGAAAGTGGACCGATGACGTGGGCGAGACGCAGCTAGTCAGCGAACAGGTGTCTCACCATCCTCCCGTCACAGCATACAGCATTTGGAACAACAAGCACGGCGTGAGACTGCAAGGCTACAATGCGCAGAAGGCCAGCTTCGGTCGAACGATAAACGTACGTCAAGTCGGACACGCTATCCTCCACATCGACGAGTACGACGAGGACTACTTAATCACCCTGCCCTCTTTGCACATCGAAGGCCTGATCAAGGGCTCGCCTTACGTTGAACTTAACAAGAGCAGCTACATTGTGTCTTCCTCCGGTTACACATCCAGAATAGATTACACCGGAGCTGGTTGGGTTTCCGGGACAAAGAATACGCTGAGTGCGATCATGTTCCGACATGGCAAGGAGAAGAGCAAGTCGGATGTACTTTACAAAGCAGATGGCAGCTGGACGGGCAAGTTCGCCATAAAAGACCACAAGGGCAACGTGGTGGAAGAGTACGACGCAAAGACAGAGCCAAAGACGGACCTGAGTGTAGCCGATATCAAGGACCAAGATCCGCTGGAGTCAAGACGCGCCTGGAAGAAGGTGGCAGATGCCATCATGAAGAGCGATATGAACACCACTTCAGCAGAAAAGAGCAGAATTGAGGAGCACCAACGTGCGCTCAGAAAGAAGGAGCAATCAGAGGGCCGAGAGTGGGAGCGAGTGTTCTTCTCCAAGGCCAATTCATTGCCGATCTTCGATAAGCTGGTTAAGGAGGTTCCCAATGGGAGCCTTGAAAAAGATCAGACCGGCGGCATCTGGTTGTTCGATCAGGAGAAATCGAAGAATGCCAAGCCGCCTTTCAGTCCCTTGAGCGAGGAGTTGAAGAACGGCTGGTAGGTAGGGGAATCGCAGCGTACACGAAGTAACGGCCGTCTGAAGACGCGTATTAAGCCCGCTGGGTGGCATTGTACAATAGTGGAAACGAAAAGTGCGTCGTAGGGCATGATACCAGGCATACGTACTGACGCTAACGATTGAGATATCAATTTGGGAAACAAACCGAACGTACGGAAACTCTCATTTCAATTTGTGTATGCCCCTCCCATTTGTGCTCACTTGTACTAATGTCCCCTTTTGCACAACCTCAATATCTGCAATTGGGAGTCGGTCACGTGTAGCTTGGCATCGGACTTTCCCGTAAAGCTTGGATGCATCTTCAGGGCACGTCTACAGCAACAGCAACCACAACGTCCTGAGTAATAATACACCTATTGCCACGCTGCGCTCCGGTCGTCGCTTCCGATGTGTGTGCCGTATAGATGAGCCAACCTCCCGCTCACCATCAAGAGGCCTCACCAGCAGCGAACGACAACTTGACCTCACACCCCACCGCTCGCCCGCAACCCTCCAGGAACAGCTCCTTGGAGGCACGACAAGGGTCCCGCCGATTAACACCCATTACTACCAACAGTGCTAGCCAAAGCAGATCCGACAGTCTCGCCTACAGCCCGTCGCGCGGAGCATTCTCGACCACACACGCCGCTTCACTTGCGTCCAGCCGACGAGTCACGAGCCGACCCTCTTCGACTTCATCCAACAACTCCTTGTTCTCACCGACCGGTTCCGCGCACGCGACCGGTCATATATACCCCATTGCAGGACGGCCGCGCCACGTCGCCGCTTCAGATAGTCCTCGTCTCGCCTCGTCGCTTGCGAGCTTGTCATCGAGCGGTGGAGGCGCCGGCGGAGGGTCTTCATCTCGACTCGCACGGCGCTCGCCATCACTCTCGCTGTCGAACAGCACCGGGTCCCCGGTTTCATCGACCGCAGGCTCTTCCGGCCAGCTCGGCAGTCTCGTCATCTCTCAATTAAACATTCTTCTGAGCACTCTGAAGGACGACTCGGATCAAGTGAAGTGGGAGACACAGGTGGGAAAGATCAGAAAACTGGTAGATGAGGGCGGGATGGAGCACTTCACAACATATTTCAGGCGCCTGCTGCAGGCAAACGCTCCGCAGATCTTTCCAGGCACGCGTGCGCCGCCAGGTACGGAAAATGCAGGAAGCTACCAATTGCTGGTAGAGGAGGTGCAGAAACTTGCAAAGGAACCACAGCAATCAGGAAAGATCGCGCAGGCGCTAGACACGACCGAAGGAGACCTGTTCCGGGACTTTGATTTGGTCACGTTTCTCGACCACTTTCGACTCGACCCAGCTGCCAACATCGCCCTTGTGCTTGCGTGCAGAACAGCTCAGAAGCAGGATCTCCGTGCCAAAGCTGATATGCTTCTGGCTGAGAGCTATCAGTCACTTCCCAGCAGGATAGCCAACTTGTCACACAATGACCCCGAGAGCGATCTTCCTGCATCTGTACTGGCTTCGATCGTCGAACGCCTGATGTTGGACCCACCACGCAACTGGGGCGACGAACAGCGCGACAGTCTATTCTACGCCATCAAACTTCGATTTAACAATCTGAGAATGCGTGCTCCAGCCATAGTGGAATTGGCGATGTTCTTGGACGAGTTACTCAACTCACAGGACTCACGGCTTGCCAACCTGGTGAGACGTACTGGGCCTCAGGGGACTTCCAGCTTACAAGCCTGCACGGAAATGCTAGCGGGCGTAGAGGTTCGCGATATATCATACATCCAGGTTGCAAACGCACTCCTCTTCATGGTGATCGTCTCGACCGGCGAGCATTTCGACCCCAGCGTCTTCGTTGATGCACTCCGGCAGCATCGAGCCGGAGCAAAGATCGACTGGACGGACGTAGTTACAGGCTTCGACAGGGAGAATCCAAAGGCTCTAAAGAAGCAGTTTCTCGGACTATACAATGCCTTGCTTCCCCTGGCTCGGGAATATGCCAACTTTGATATCCAAGCCTTGTGGGGAGGTCAGTGGACGTATCAGGAGACTCAACTCAGCTACGTCGTTGCCTTCTTGACGACTACGCCAGAGGAGCTGGACGTCATGCAAATCCCAAATTTGAGGCAGTCTTTTGAACTGTCAGACTTCGCCCAAGCCTCGGACAGTGTACGCGCATATGCGGAACAAGCTGTCAAGCATCCTCTGGTATCTCGAGATGCAACCGAGGCCCTCTTCACTTTGATCTTCAAGTCGCAAGAATGGTATCAAACCGCTCAGCGTTACGGTATTCCCGAAGATGTCATTAACCCAAACATGACGATATTCACATGCGCAGCTTCGGCGGTCCCAAAACCGTGGCAACCCTTGCAGGACCAAGCGCTCAAACAGCTCTTCTTTCCGTTCCTTCTGAAACGTCACGATAACTACGAGTTCGTGATGCATTCCGTGTGGCAACACGATAAGTCATGGACGGCCACTCGCTTGGTCGAGTTTCATCAATCAGACCCGATGTTGATGCCATTGATTTTGGAACATGCATTGGCACATGGCTGGCTGGAACTACTGCTCACTATTCAAAGCATGTTCGCCTTGGATCTTGCCGCCCACGCACACGGCAGAGGCCACTGTAACCTGGACGAGTGGGCGCAACAGCACATCAACATGATGGGTCCAGCAGCTTTCGCCAGATTGTTGGGGGACTTCTTGAAGTCGAAGATCGACGATGAAGCACTAGTACAACGGGAGCACTCCAATCCAAGCACCGTTCCGCTTACAGTCAACAGCGTGCGAGCGCTGCTCTTGCTCATTATGCGCCTGGTCGGCGAAGAGATGACAGGTCCTTTCTACCGGCAGTGCCTGGCAATCTATCCACGACTCTTCAATTACGGCCAGAGCGAAAACATTGATGCTGTCATTGATGCCAACGGCGAGCACGGCAACGTACTCCCAGAGAGCGCGACCAAGGAGATGGAGGAGCGGTACAAGGAAATGTACGGCGGTACAAGCAACCCAGAAGCTCTAATCACAGAACTCAACCGTCTGAAGGAGTCCGATGATCCCGCAGAGCAGGACCTCTTTGCTGCCATGCTGTATGGGCTGTTCGAGGAGTACAACTGTTTCGGAGAGTACCCAAATGAGGCACTTGCAACAACCGCTGTCCTTTTTGGTGGACTCGTCAGCTACCGGGTTCTCTCTGACATTGCCGAACAGGCTGCTCTTTCCATGATATTCGATGCTGTGTCGGAGTACGGCCCAGAGGATCCGATGTACAGATTCGGCCTTCAGGCCTTGCTTCATGTCCTCAACCGGCTAAAGGAGTGGCCACACCTCGCCGAGCGGATCTTACACACCCCATCATTGGTTGATACCCAAGCCGAAAAGGAAGCGGAGAAGGCTTTGAACGAGTTGCAACAGGAGCACGTCGCTATGAATGGTGAGACCACAAATGGTATTGCCAATGGCATTGCCGACGAAGAATTTGCAGCGGATGCCACGCCCACCTTTACGGCCATCCAGATTGATCCACCAACTGTTGAACATTTCTTTGAAGAGCCCAACGAAGATATCTCTGACAAAGTCACGTTCGTCCTGAACAACGTCTCAAAGAGAAATTTCGATGAAAAATTCAAAGAGATCGACGAGGCGCTTGACGAGAAGTACAGCCAATGGTTTGCGCATTACTTGGTGGACGAGCTCGCCAAGTCGCAGCCAAACTTCCAATCGCTCTACCTAAATGTCCTTGAGAAATTTGACAAGAAGATCATCTGGGCTGAGGTGCTACGGGAAACGTACATCAGTTGTCGAAAGATGTTGAACGCTCAAACCACCATGGAAAACCAGCATGAGCGAACGCTCCTCAAGAATCTTGCGACTTGGCTTGGATCTATCACTCTCGGTCGGAACCAGCCCATCCTTCACCGAAATCTTTCGTTTAGAGATCTTTTGATCGAAGGCTACGACACCCAGCGACTGCTCGTCGTCATACCCTTCACATGCAAGGTCTTGGTTTCGGCCAAGAATTCTCAAGTGTTCCGCCCTCCGAATCCCTGGATCATGGAGCTTTTAGGAGTGCTCAGCGAGCTGTATCACTGCATGGAGCTCAAGCTGAACATGAAATTCGAGATCGAGGTGCTTGGTCGGGAGCTTGACATTGACATTCACGATGTCCCAACGCTTGACGCCATCCGCTCGAGGCCTCTGCTGGATCAAGGCATACTTCAAAACTACGTACCCGAAGCCGGACCTGACGCTTTCGGAGACGTGGCGCTCATGGGCCTTGCCAAGCGTGGTCCAAATGAGCGTTTCTCACCCGACGCCGTAATTCAGGCCGTGCCAGATCTCGGAAATCTTCTCCAGATTCCGCAAGCGGCTGGCAATATCACGCAGCAGCAGCTACGGAACATTTTTGTTTCCGCTGCCCAGCAAGCCATTTACGAGATCATCGCTCCTGTCGTCGAGCGCTCTGTCACGATAGCGTCCATCTCGACCGCGGAGCTGGTTCAGAAGGACTTTGCTACAGAAGGCGACGAGGAAAAGCTTCAGACCTCTGCCCACACCGTCGTCAAGGCTCTTTCGGGAAGTCTGGCCTTGGTCACCTGCAAGGAACCGCTGCGTATGAGCATCACAAACAATATCCGTATCCTTGCCTCAAGGAGCCTACCCGAGCAACTTCCGGAAGGTCAAATCTTGATGTTTGTCAATGACAACATAGACACCGTGTGCAACCTTGTCGAACGAGCTGCTGAGGATCACTCCTTGGCGGAGATTGACTTGCAACTTCAGCAAGCTTTGGACGCTCGCCGCCAACGCAGTGAGCAGCGACCAAACGAGCCTTTCGCTGCTCATGTTCCAGTCAATCGCTGGGCAACTCTGATTCCGGAACCTTACCGCCAGGATCAAAATGGCTTGAACCGACAACAGCTTGCCCTCTACGAGGACTTCGGACGTCAGGCGCGCATCACGCCTGCTGTACACGCAAACAACGTATCCCAAGACAGCAATCGACAATTACCGGATGTGTTGTCGGAGGGCTATTTGCCAAACTTGCCCACCCCAGCAGAAGCTCCAGCAATGCCACGTCCCACTCAACAGCGGCCCCAAGCTATGCAGGCGTTGCAGAATCAGCACCAGGTCAATGGCTACATGGAGAATTCGAACATCAATCAGAGGATCCTTGAGCTCCTGGCAGAACTCTCAGCGACTTCACGAGATGCAGCGGAAGAGCACGCTAGCGAGGTCGGTGAAGGATCTCCTATCCGCCGCGCCTATGGCACCCTGATCGGCTTGATCGAAAGTCATCCGCAGCAAGACAGCCTCTCCGTTAACTGCGGTACCCACTGTCTGAGCATCATATATGGTGGCGAGGCCCTGAAGCGACTAGAAGTCGAGGTCTTCGCTCGCCTGCTTGGTCAACTTTGCCGCATCTCTGTTGCGGCAGCTCGACATGTGACAGCCCAGCTCAGCGTAGTCGAAGATGATCGCATCTTCAACGCTGTGGCTGCGGTTTCTCTATACTACGAACGTCTTCTCGAGATACAGCAGATTGACGTCCAAGTCTCGAAGGCAATTCGCGCAGGTCGGGTAGCTGTTGCACTGCCATTCTTGAGAGACGTCGTAGACGAGCTACTCCTCAGTGACGAGCCTGTCTTCCGCACCGACTTCGTGCTTAGCTATGAAGCTCTTGCGACCCGCATGCATCAAGAGCCGGACACCGAGCTGGGCGGTGAGATTATGGCCAAGCTCCAACTTCCTGCCCATCAAGTCAACGGTATACCAAGTCCGGAATTGGATGGCGCAAAGACGGAGCAGCAAGAATACGTTTTCGAAGAATGGCTCAGATTGCAGCACAAGGATCTCCCTCTTCGTGCACATCTTGCTTTCCTCCGGCAGCTCCATGATCGGCACGTCATCTCGTCCCCACTGGATCTCATGCAATTCATCCGATCAGCGCTTGAGTTGTCTGTCGTGGAGTTCGAGCGGGCCAGCAGCATCCCGTATGGCACGCAGGACCAGTTTTTCATAGCCATCGACGCTCTTGCTAAGCTTCTCGCGCTGATGGTTCTGTATCAGAGCGCCGTTGACGGTGACGCCCAGGTCGACAAGGGCAAGCCATTAGAGGCCACCTTGACTATAGTGCTCCTTATCATGAATGACCAACAGGCCAAGCATGGCGACCGCTGGAATAGCAGGGTCTATTTCCGGCTCTTCTCGACCCTGCTCTGCGAAATCCACGATCATCGCCATCAGCTCACTCCCGAGCAGGAGCGCAGCATCTACGAGAAGTTTTACATTGCGATGCAAGCCTTACAGCCGAGGAACTTCCCAGGCTTCGTTCATGCCTGGCTGGCCCTTATGGGTCACCGTCTATTTGTTCCTGCATACCTTGGCGCACATGGCCGGACCAACGGTGGCTGGAACATGTTCGCTCATCTGCTGACAATCTTGTTCGAGAACTTGGGCCGGCTGTTGAACGAGACCGACGCTTCACCTGCCTCTCAGGACTTTCATCGCGGCGTTCTACGCTTCATTGCGGTCCTGCACCATGACTTCCCGGAATTCCTGATCGAGAACCACATGCAGCTTGACGCGAACATCCCGCCCCAGTGCTTGCAGCTGCTCAACATTGTCAATAGTGCTGTCAGTCGTGGTGTATTCAACGACCAGCCTGACCCGTTCACACCCGGACTCAAGATCAATAGACTGGAGCAAGTACGGCAGGCTCCAGCGGTCCACTGCGATATGAGCAATGTATTAGACGTGGCAGAGATCAAAGCAGCGGTTGATCGGGTATGCACTAGTGGAAACGACCTGAGCGAGCAAGACTTCGCGGCAATTTTGACTGCGTTGACTGTAGAGGCGAACAGCGCTTGTTCTCTCACTTCCAACGCTGTTGTCCTCTACATCGGGGTGCACGCGACATCTGCATCCTCAGTCTTCTCATCGGCGGCTGCACCTGCTCGTCTCTTCGAGCGTCTCTTGCGCGATGGTGGGTCAAAGATACGTTACCGACTTCTCTCCGCTATGGCCAACCAGGTCCGCTATGTCAACGCGCACACGCACTACTTCTCGACCGCGCTGCAGCACATGTTCAGCATCGGAAGTCAGGAACTGCAGGAACAGATCATGCGTGTGCTATGTGAGCGGCTGATGGTTCCTCGGCCGCATCCATGGGGATTGATTGTCATGATGCTGGAGATGGTGAAGAGCCCGGTGTACGATGTCTGGAGCTTGGCGTGGGTGAAGGCCGCCCCGCAGGTGGAGTCAATGCTTGTCAATCTCGCGCACTCGCAGGATCCACGAATGTCGAGGAGTCCAATGAGCGGCATCATGGGCTGAGCGCCCATCACTTGGCCTTGATGGAATGCGAACGAGCTTCTGTCTCAGTCTGGGGACGAGAGGCGTATAAAAGCCAGTGGGAGGCATTGTAAATGGGAGGGGAAAATGGGAGACTACAAAAATTTCAGCGAGGAGTTGAGAGAGCTTGCCGTCTGTTTGAGCCCTTCATTTTGACGAGAAGGGAGAGCATGGCAGGCAGTTTTTGATATTCATGACCCCACTTTTTCTCAAGCAGTCAACCAACAGACGAACGACTGGACGGGTGATGGTGATGAATTGTACTATCATTGGCATTTGAGAAACGGCGGATGCTCCTCCACTTCTGGGGATGGCAAGAAAAGGGGAATGAGATGAATGAAATGTAGAATAGTGCATAGTGTGGTTCAGAGGTATTCAGTTCTTGATGTGGTTTTTTTCTCTTGATCTCTCTTGTGATATACTGTGAAAGTGTGCTGGTCTCATCTCCTGTCCCTACCTGGAAGACGAGCCAGCTTGTCTTCCACGGGCCCAGTCGTTGCTTTCACGTTGACTACGATGTTTCTCTAGCCAGCCAGCCTAGAACTCCCAAACCACCGCAAGCAACGCGAGGTGGTGTGGTGCCTCTCAAGCGTAATCATGGGGACAATTCTCCGTCGTCTACCAAGTCATAATTCACCGTCGAACCCCTTCTTGCCCATCTTTCCGTCTACCGCAAGCCTACTGTAGACCGCCCGCCTCAAAGTATCATGCTCTTCGAGCCCGCGCTGCAGCACTTCGGGATACTTCCTGGCGAGAACCCAGTACGACTCCGCGAGATGGTCGGCCATCCAGTCCTGCAAGTAGTACTCGGTCACGGTCTCCGGCGCCGGCAAGTTGGCGAAGACCGTCGCCATGACGAGGATGGTGAAGGGCGGCAGCGGGTCGAGCGCGCGGATCTTGTCGCGGATGAGCGCCTGGAGGGGTTCGTGGCGGATTTTGCAAGCGGGCACGAAGGCGAGGGCGAGGCTCTCGCCGAAGAGGGATTTCTGAGCTTCTGGGGAAGGTTGTTAGTGTGCTGAAGGAAAAGGGCATTGGATCTGACGGAGAGAGAGAGATCTTACCTTCGAGTTCTCCAAACGGGTCTTTGGAGTCGTAGTCCTTATCTGGAAGGAGCTGGGGGCCAATGTCATTGGTGTAGAAGTAGTCCTCTAGCCTGGAGAATTCTTTCTCCGTCAGGTTGAGAGCGACAGCTTGCTTGTCTGCGGTCAGGTCGATGACGTGATGTCCGAGCACGGCGTGATACTTCTCGAGTGAGGCGAGATAATCGCACTGTTTCAATGCCTCGCGGGGAATGATGATGCCAGCCTTTGATCGGTCGATGACGACCTTGACCTTGTCTGTACTGAGTTCATAGATTAGGGGCTTGCAAAGTGTCGTTAGGGAACGGTTGTCACCAACCTCATCTTGGGGGGACTCCACACGCGCAAGGCGCCCACTTCCGATCCGCTCCCGGCGCTGAGATTTGGCGAGCCGCTATCGTTCGTGAATCCTCTGCTGTTACTGGTTTCTGGTCCTACTCTGTTCTTATTCGGGGTCTGCTTGGGAGTCGGTAGCTGTTCCTGTTGGGATCCAGGCGAGCTCGACGAGTCGTTTCTCTGCTTGCCACTGCCAGTCGAGTCAAATGCAGAGGAATCCCGGCGACGCTTGCCCTCGCTCGCGAAAGGAATCTCATCGTCCTCGCGAGTGATTTTGCGTTTTTTCGAACTTCCTGTCCGCTCAGAGTGGCGCCGGTTTCTCTCGTTCTCGATTCTGCGAGCTTCAGATTTCATCTTGACATAGTTGGACCAGAATTTGTCGTCACGGAATTCCCTCGCATCCTGCTCGAAGGCTTTGACGCGCTGCTTCTGCGACTTTGTTGCTTCATCGTCGTGAGGCAAGATCTCTGGCTGGTCGAATTTGGGAAGCTCGTAGTCGCCGCAAGGATCGAACTCCGCGACAAGTTCAGTTGCGACCCAGATACTGACGATCTTTAGCAGAGTACCTGAAGCAGGGAAGGCGCCACTCACTATTTGTGTTTCCCAAGGAGAATGCCGGGAGTTTCGTCGTCTCTCTGTCGGGTTCCAAAGAACTTCTCTGGTGTGGTACTCGCATTACAAAGCACGACTGGCCAGTCTTGTCCGCAGAAGCTCGTCAGCCAGGTGCTGCCGGCGACTTTAGGTTGCTGCATGTGTTGAACGCTTTCATTCACCTCTTCCGTCATGGTGAGCGAATGGTCGTAGTTGTTGTAGATGTGGATGTCGGCTTATCGTGTTGGATGCTAGTATCCCAGTGTCGTGCAGCAAATGCCGGTGAAAGCGGCGGTATGTTTCTGTTTCTGTTGATTTATGTGCAAGTGTCGTTGCAAGGTCTGGGGGTTGGAGCGAGAGGAAGAAATGCAAGGAGCGGGCTGCAACTGAGAGAGGTGAAGAAGATGCATGGCTTGTGCGGCTCACTTGCATGTGATGGTCTATATCTGATGGTCTGCATGTGAGGTGAGGTGAAGAACAGACGTGTACCCAGAAGATTCGCCATGCTTCGGGGCTGCGAATTGGCAGACCGCATTCCTGCAAGCGCTGGGATTCATCAAGAAGACTTGAAGCTTCGAGGTGCGACTCCCAAAGTGCTCTGCGATGAGATGAAATGTTCCATGACAGTAGCACTGGATTTCTCCCTCCAGATACCAGATCTGGAGGTGAAGTTACCCGGAAGAAAGTTTTCCCTGCCCGTGCACGGAGCCCTCACAGCTAGGTACACTACACTTCCCTCCCGCAAGCTGTTCACATCCGACTCGCGATCCCCAATTCCACTCCCTCACAAACACCAACACCAACACCAACACCCACTCGCCCTTCAAAAAGATGCTGGGTGCAATCGCCAATCTACAGCCGCGCCAACTGGCCGCCCAAGTCCTCAACTTCGCCCTCGTGCTCTCCACCGCCTTCATGCTCTGGAAGGTACCAAAACACCACCCCCTCCCCTTCCCCAACCTATTCACCTTAGACTGAACGATAGACAGGGCCTCTCCGTCGCCACGAATTCCAGCTCCCCGATCGTCGTAGTCCTCTCCGGAAGCATGGAACCCGCGTTCCAACGAGGCGATCTGCTCTTTCTGTGGAATAGAGGCCAGGAAACACAAGTAGGAGAAGTCGTGGTATACAACGTCAGAGGGAAGGATATTCCGATCGTACACCGGGTGATTCGACGGTTCGGTGGCGGGTCAGTGCACACTTTTTCTCCCTGGGGATAATCGCGGCGGCCGATTGTCCCACATATTGTCGTTATCGTTATACTAACACGCCGCCTCTAGAACCGCCCCCCTCTCCCTCCTAACCAAAGGCGACAACAACGCCGCAGACGACACGGAGCTCTACGCGCGCGGCCAGAATTTCCTCGACCGCAGCAAAGACGTCGTCGGCAGCGTGCGGGGTTTCGTGCCCCTGGTGGGCTACGTTACCATCTTACTCAGCGAGTATCCGTGGTTGAAGACGGCCATGTTGGTCTTCATGGCGCTGACGGTCGTGTTACAACGCGAATAGACTAGACTAGCAGGAAAGAAGAAGAAGAAGAAGAAGAGATACCCCCCGCAACGAATCGAAATTCGCTTGTCTTGAACGCAATGAACGCGTGCACCCGTGCGAGTGCTGCGCGTCGAAGTTCTCGCGCTAGTAGGAAGAACACTTGTGAGGCATCGTGGTTCCAATCTGCGCGAAATCTTGGAAAGGCCAACACTCACTTCGCGGACAAGTCTATTTTTTCTTTCATGTGAGTCTCAAAAGAAGCTGCAAACGTTTGATTCTCCACGTTGATTCTATTATGAACACGTCTTCTATCCTCTGGGATGCATTACTACATACTCCTCATCGCCCTCAGAGCACTGTGTGCAACGTATGTACTGCTACTGCTACTGCCCAACCCCAATGCTCCAAGTAGTCCGAAAGATAAAAAAAAAAAAGACAAAAATTCCCCCCAAAAGTGCCTGCCATATTTCCCAAACCAGTGGGTATCATCATTTTTATAATCTCTCTCTTTTCAGAACATTACATTCCTCAGTTCTCTAAAATCGCCTTGCCTTGCCGTGCGAAGAAATCACGTCTTAATTTAGAGAAGGAAGATGGCTGCGAGGAGCGCACATGCCATGGTGAGGCTCCCGCCAGAGAGCTTGACAGCAGAGCCGGTGTAGGGAGTGATAGAGGGTCCGGGTGGCTGGTATGAAGGGACGACGGCGCTTGTTCCGAAACCGGAGGGGGCGGCTGTTCCTTGGCCACCGATAGGGCCGACGACCGGTGAGCCGGGGGCGGTGGGGTAGGGAGCGACTGTTCCTTGGCCGGCGATGGCGCCCGCGAGCGCTGAGCTGGGGGCAGTTGGGTAGGGAGCGGCAGTTCCTTGGCCAGCGATGGGGCCGACAACCGGAGCGCCAGAAGTGGTTGGGTAGGGAGCGACTGTCCCTTGGCCAGCGATGGGGCCGACGGGCGCTGCGCAAGAGGAACCGGGTGTTTCTTGGCTACCACTTGGACCGACGGGCGCTGGGACGGAGGCTGAGTAGGGAGCGACTTCTGGCCCGGAGACGGCGCCATTTGAGTACGCTGGAGCTGGAGCAGGAGGAGTCGGTGCAGCCGCTGGGATGGAGGTTCCCGGGTAGGGAGCGACCTCTGGCCCGGAGACGGCACCATTTGAGTACGCTGGAGCTGGAGCTGGAGCTGGAGCTGGGGCAGTCGGTACAGCCGCTGGGACGGAGGTTGTTGGGTAGGCTTCTGGCCCGGAAGACGCACCATTCGAGTACGCTGGAGCAGGAGCTGGAGCAGTCGGTACAGCAGCTGAAGTTGCAGCGACGGGGGGAGGAGCGCCGTAGCCAAGAGCTGGTTGCACCGTCGTCGAGCCACCAGAACTGACGGTGTAAGTGGAGATTTGGACTTGTGGAACTATGACGGTGGTGACGATTTGGCTGGTGATGCTGCTCGAAGGGATGGGAGCGCCCATAGATTCGCCTGACGAGTAGATTGCTGGGTAGGTTGCGACCTGGGAGTAGGTAATTGTTGTGCAGGGGACTTCAGCTGGTACAGTTGGGACTGGAGAGGACTCGACTGGTGCAACTGAGCTGCTACCGGCTGGAGGAGCGTACCCAGCCGGGGACGCTGGGGAGGACTGGCCTGGAGCAACTGAGCTGCTACCAGGTGGAGGAGCGTAGCCGGCCGGGGACTCTGGGGAGGACTGGACCGGTGCAACCGAGCTGCTGCCAGATGGGGGAGCGTAGCTGGCCGGGGGCGCTGGTGGCGCCGTGACGGTGGTTGCCACGGCGAAGGAGAAGGTGACAGCTGGAGTTACGCTCGGTGGACATGCCGTGACAATGGCTGGGTTCTGAGGCACATAAGGAGCGCAAAGCCCCATGAGGTAGGAGGTGGCGCCCTTGGTGTGTTCGTCGGAACCAGACCAGGAGCTGATACAGCCGTACACCTTGGTCATCAACTCCTCACTCTTGCAGAAGCAGTCGTAGTCAGAGTTGTCCTTGCAGTGAGTCAAGTACATCCAAGAGCTCAAGCACTTGGGCAACACACTGGGAGACTGAGGTGCGCCGCCAGGCGGGGCAGGGCCGCCCTGCGCAGGGCTAATCGCTGGTGGGCTGCTCTCTGATGGAACACTCTCTGGTGGGCTGCTCTCGACGGGACTGCTTGGCGCCGCAGTGCCTTCAGCAGCGGTGACTGGGCAGACCGTGGTCGACACGGCAATCGTCTTTGTGATGACCGCGGGACTTCCAGCCGAGACGGATGCTGGACAATTGGTGACGGAGGGTCCGCACGAGGTGATGGTCTCCACAGTGGTTTCGTAGATGGTGCGAGTGGTGAACGATGTGGTGGTGCTGGTGAGAGCGGGGACCTCTACGCCCGAGCTAGAACTGCCATACGCTAGAACGCTGCTCGAGCCAGGGAAGGAGACCGGAGCGCTGCTAGATTCAGGAACCGAGTAGGAAGAAACACCGGTGGAGCCAGGAGCAGGGTACAAAGGAGCGCCGGTGGATGCAGGAGCAGAATAAGAGAGAACACCGCTAGACGCAGAAGCAGAGTAAATTGGGCCGCCGCCGGAAGCCGGAGCGGTGTAAGATGGGACGTTGCTTGAGCCACCGTACAAAGGAGCAGTGCCAGTCCCAATAGGAGCGCTGTAGTTGAACTTGGGACTAGAGAAGCTAGGCACTGGCGCGGTAACTGGCGAAGGCCCCGGAGAGCCTGGTGCAGAGTAGCTGAAGGTGCTGGGTGCGGTGGTAACTGGAATTAGAGGAGCAGTGCCAGTACCAATGGGAGCGCTGTAGTTGGCCTTTGGGACAGAGTAGCTCGGGGCGGGCGGCGTGTAAGCAGGAGGAGACTCTGTGCTTGGGCCAGAAGAAGCAGGGGAGAGAGATGTCTCGACTGGCGCAACGCTGGAGGAGCTGGGCGCGCTAAAAACTGGAATCGCAGGAGCAGTGCCAGTCCCAATAGGAGCGCTATAATTGAACTTGGGACCAGAGTAGATCGGACCTGGCGCGGTGACTGGCGAAGACACCGAAGAGCTTGGTGCTGAGTAGCTCGGACCTGGAACGTTGTAGGCTGACACAGATGGGCTGGAGTATGCTGGGGCCGACTCCGAGCTGGAGGTATACACTGGGATGGATGAGGTCGTAGTCTCAGCAGGCGAGGACTCGAAGATAGGGGTCGAGTACGACGGCGGTGCAGTAGAAGAGTATGAAGGTGGCGCGCTGGACGCTGGGCCGCAGTTGAAGCCAATGCTGTGGACGCCGATGTTGCAGTCGGAGCTCTGTCCGCCGGCAGGCTTGAAAGTGACAGACTTGGCACCACCGCATTGCGAATTCTGGGAAGGTGTGAGCAGGAGTACGACGTGGAGATGGCAAGTGCACCTACCTGAATAGTGGTACCTTCAGCACTGCACGAGTGAGTCTCCTGGCAAGTCGATCCGTCGGGCATCTCGTAGTGGCACTCGATGTCGGTGTCCTTGTCCGAAGAGACCTGGAACTTGTCGAGGGACATGGTCTGATCCCCGTGGCATCCAATGGACGGGTTGTCGGCGAGAGGAGCAGTGATGCATTTCGATTGGAATGAGCTCAGGAGATCCCTCTTGCTGAAGGAGTTGGAGCAAGACCAGCCACTGAACGAGTTGTCGCCGTAGTCGTCGAATGGACCGGGAGAGAGGTTGGACCAGTCGTATCCGCTTGCCTGGGCGGGCGTGCATGAGTTGTCTGTGTTGTCTGGCGTTGAGAAGGATTCATCGCTTCCCCATCCGCCGCCATAGCTACCGCCGTCAGCACCCGAGGCGAGGGCCTGGTGGGCCGCGAGGCCGGCTGCAGCAAGCGCTGCTGTTGTGAAGTGCATCTGGTCAGAAGTTGAGATCTTAAACTAAAAGTTACTTTCTATGTCAATGTGGAGGTGGTAGTTGCGATGTTGGGAGGAAACGAGGAAGAAAGCAGTCCAAACGAACGATACTGCTTGAGGCGGACTATGTCCGCAAGGCGACAGGACAGAGGAGTATTAAGAAACGTGGAAGCAGGAAGGGAGAGAGGTTGGGGGCTGCGCAAACCACGGATTCTATATCCATCTTGCTGGACAGGACAGAGTTGGCAGCCGAAACGCAGGAGCAGTCATCAAAGCGGCATTGACCAGCGCGAGCCCGTTTGCCAGTGAGGGCGCGATGCGGTGTCGACGGGCATGTGTCGTCGCCGGCCGTGCTCCGTGCATTCGATGGGCGTGGCACAGTAGTGGGTTGCGGCCAGCCTGTGGCCGCTTCCCTTCCCGTCGACTGCGAGTGCGAGCAGCACACAGCGCTACTGCAGGAACATGGCAATCCCCTGTTCCAAGACGCCGGAAGGGAGCGCGTTGCTGGCGTCAACAACAACGTCTCTTGGTTCTCTTCGCGCCCTCATCGACGACTCTCACCAAACGGCCGGTCTGCTCGTGCGAGATGGCTAGATGGCTGGATGGCTGATTGGCAGGCTGGCTATCGTGGGAAGTGATCGCTTCGACGACGAGGCCGAGAGATGCACTGCGCGGTGGCGGTGGCGGTGACGGTGCCGCCTGGCATGAGAAGTCGTGTCGTATCAGCAGCCGACAGCAATACATGTAATAATAATGGAATAGCGACAGCGGTGATGAATCGTGATGTGGAGCAGTAGGTGTCGTGTCGCAAGCAGCAACGCTGTGCCTGCGTCTGTATCAGTGATGATGGGCCCCGACGCTCTCCGAATCGAGATACACGTCCTTGCCCTTGATTGGCCCGACAAGCGAGCCGCCTGCGCGTCGGAGCCTCTCCTAGCCCGCTGATTGGTCACGTCAGCCTTTCCTCACGCGCGCGTCTCAGACTTCATCCCTCCCAATAATCATCCGCCTCGCCACAACCCGATTTGCCTTCCACGCCAGTACTGTGGTACGAGCTGCAAGATGAAAGGCCCATGAGATTCCGTCCACTGCCCACTCGATTTGGCACCGGCGATTGCTGTGTGGAGGATCAGAGCTGGGATCTTCTTTTCTGCCACCCGCTCCGCTCTTGCACCTCTTCTCCTGCTGCTTGCTTCTTATTACCCGGCTGCTGGACAGCACAGCTTCAACACGAATGGCGCTAGGGCTGCCCGAGAAGACACGTCCAGTCATCAGCTCACTACCGTGGATCAAGCCATGAAAACCACCCTGTGTAGGACAGCTCGGAACTGACAACAATACAGTTCTCGAAGACATGACTCCGCGTCGACACCTGTTAGGAGGCTTCATTTCCGCATTCGATGGGCTCGCTCGTCCATGAAACATCCTCCCTTCCGTCTCCCCGCCAATACCCATTTCCCTACCTTACCTTATTTACGTGTGCCAGCCCTACGGCCCCGGGCCTCTGACAAGCGCTCAGCCTCGGGCGCTTACGTCTGTCTCTCGCTATACTACGCCACGCATCCACGCATCCATCCTAGGACCTGTCTTCCAATAAAGGTAGTATTCCTATCGGTACGGGACATTAGTCAGTTAGGACGCGGCACTTGCGAGTAAGATAGTATAACTTTATAGGGAAAAACTACTACTTATAAATAGAAATTACAAGTATAGGGTACTGAATTTTTTTCCTACGGTATATTAGGTATCTATCTACCCGGCTAGAATACTACCTCTACGTAGAATTCACTAGCGTAGGGCTTTATATCCCTTCTACGCGATACTAAGTCTATACGTTTATAGGAAGAACACCGCGTTTATATAGAGTTTATTAGTACGGGGCGTTATATTGTTTTTACGGGGCATTATATTATTTTCAAGGGGCACTACATACCTAGACGTACATCTAGTTACGACGGCCTTCTTCCCGGCACCGAAAGGGCATATACTCTTATAGGGAATTCACGAGCGCGGGGCGTTACTCTACGAATTCACCTCCGCGGGGCATAGCTTTCAAAGCGAGGGGGCGAACATTCATCTCGTTAATTGAAAAGTGTCCTTCCTACACAGACAGGTACACGGCGTAGGTAGGAAAGCACCCGAAGCAAGATCAAGTGACTCAAATGCACGGCTCTGCCAACCTCGGTATCAAAAGCACTAAATTACTCTGTCCTGCCTTGAAGATGGAAAACTGCCTGACTTTTACTACCGGACTGTTCCAATCAATGCTATGCCGAAGTGGAGTGAACCAAAGCAACGCAGCTACATCTGAACCATCCCCAAAAATGCAGGACCTACCGTGCCAATAGACATCCATCCAATACTAGAGAGATAGACTCGGCCCAGGAAATCCAGTCACTCGCCGCCAACATCCATCGAATCCTTGCCCCACCAGCTCGTCATCTCCGTCTCAGCCTCCTCCACCAAATACCTGAACTCATTGCTGTAGCCCTCATAACGCTGCATAAAGTCGAGATCAGTCGAGGTCACGCCCATTTGACCTGCCTCGGATTTCTTCGCATCTGCCTCCTGAAGACGCTGGATCTTTTCCACCTTCTTTCCCTTTGTCGGCTCGTTGGCGTGCTTCAAGAGACCTTCCAGCTGATTTGACGTGAGCGTCTTATCGATTTGGTCGAGACGAGCAACGAGCTCGGCATGACTCTCGTCGGGGCGACGACCTGGTAGGCCCCGCCTGACAAGGAGTAGATCTAGTTCATTGCCACTGAGAATGCTGCGTGGGCTACGGAGAGTCTCTTTTGTGACCACTGGGATGACCGTGTCCGCAGCTGGGGCAGCAGCTTGCTTTGGAGTAGCACGAGAAGCTTTCGACTTGTTCGGGGTGGTCGTTGGCGAGCGTGCTGGCTGAGCGGGCTTGTTGGCAGCAGGCTTCGTCGCTGAAGTCTGCTTGACCCGACCGGAGCGACGGGCACCAGGAGCCGGAGGAGCCGGAGTGGATGGCTCGTTTCCATCATCTTGGTCCTCAATGCCACCAGCAGCAAAGGATACAAGTCCGTCATCATTGCTGCCGTCTGTCAAATACACCCCTTCTTCGTCGCTCTCGAATTCGTCAACGTTACTCTCCACAGCCTCTTCGGACTCATGTCCATCTCTATTTTTCTTCGAACGGCGTCTAGGTCGATTGTCAATGCTCTTGCCAGTCATGGTCCGGTAAGCCTCATTCTCCTGATGCTTTTTCTCCAGCCTCCAGTCACGTTCTGCTCGGAGCTGCTTCTGGATAGCCTGTTGACGACGACGAGCTGTGGTACGGTTGAGGTTACGCTCTTCCTTGACAAGTTCTCGCTCGCGCTTATCGTTCTTTCTCTGGAGTCTCGCCGATACCAGCTCTTCTTCTGCCTCGAACTTCTCTCTCTTCGCTGCCTCCTGCCTCGCCTTCTTTGCCTCTGCCGCCTGGCGCACGCTGTCTTTGGCGTCCTGTCGAGCTTTCTTGGCGGCAGTAATACGTGCCTCACGCAGTTCACGGCGGCCTTCTTGGTCTTCGTCTTCTTCGATTGGCGTCAAGGCGGTTCCATTCTGTACGGCCACAAATCTTTCACGGCAGGCTTTGGCGGAGTACTTCCTCTTACCAATTTTGTGCCCGAGATGCATCGAGATTTCCTGCCACTTCCTCTGCTCCAACTTCGCCAGGCTCTCCTTGTACTTCTGTTCGAGACTGTCGAAGACCTCCTTAAGTTTGTCGTCCTGTAAATGTCAGAATATCATCAGGTCCAGCATACTTCTTAGGCAGCAGAGTCGTACCTCGCCTACGTGCCAATCACTGAGTTCGTCGTCCAATTCCTCATCTTCGGCATCGATCATCATCTTGCGGAGTCTCTGCCAACGACTCCCAACAGTTTTGGCGGAGTATCTCATGCGCCCTTCCTTCTGGAACGTCTCGGCGACGAACACATCGGTATGATCTTGCTGCTTCAGCTCGATGAGTCGAGCATCGTCCGAATCGTAGTCGATGGTGATGGGCTTTGCGAGCACAGCTAGCCCACCCTTTACGTACGGACGGCGCTTCGCTGTGACTGGTTTCTTGCGACCTTTACGAGCCCTGCCCGGGTCCTTGGTCTGATTGTTCTCATCCTGTGTTGAGTATTAGCATATGGGATCCGTCTTCTTTCGGATGATGCCTACATCTTGGTTATCATCGTCTTCTTCTTCCCCGTCTTCTTCTTCCTCGTCGTCTCCTTCCTCTTCGTCTCCTTCCTCTTCGTCTCCTTCCTCGTCGTCTTCTTCCTCGCTCACATGATCTCGGTCCAGTTCGTCAATCTCAGCGCGGTCAGCACTATTTGGACCTCGGCCTGTCTCGTGTCAGCATTTGTATTCATCTCCGTCGACAGCAGCGCTGATGAGCCTTATGAAGGCGCTCGAGTGGCATGGAGGCCTGCAAACCTGTGGAGACGCACCTCTGCTTGCGAGTGATGGCGCACCGCCCCAGAACAAGCCGCCTCTCATTCTCGCGTGTCGTTGTACGGTGTTGAGAAGTAGAAGAGGTGAGTAGCTGGAAGGAAGTATATGTGTTCTCGAGCGCACGAGTAGTGCCCGTGGCACTGATTGCGTGTTTGTGGTTGTTTTTGGGAGATGAATGAGGTTGAGATGTGTTGACGAGAAAGTGAGCTCAGATGAAGTGGAGGAGATCGTCGTATCCCTTTGACGCGGCAGGCACGTGCTGGTTTGTTGCTACTCAATTAGGAAGGAACGATTGAAGCGTGAGTTTGCGTAAATGGCTCTTGCTTTCTTGAGTTGTTGGTCCTGCTAATTGTTGATCTGTTCTTAGTCTCTCGTAGAAGGAAGGCTTATCCACGAAAAGCTGCAAACTGCAGTGACAACAATGAAACCGGCCCACCTTACGCTGTTTCCATCCACATGCTGAAGCATCTCCGCTACACGTGAAGAGGCTGAGCCGATCTCAGGCCTTGCGGTTCCACAGCCTCCAGCATTTTGTTCGAAATGGCTTACCGATTGACATCGCCACTACTATCATTGTGAGGAAGACCCAGCCGAGCCCATCTCACGTTACTCACCGCCATGAAATCTGCTCATCCTGGTGTTGAAATGTAGCTCTCGATACCCACTCGACGACCAAGGCCGTATGAATTTCCAGATGTCGAGACTCCCGCGAATCTCGCTCATAATCGAATACCGCTCATGCTTGGCATGCGACTTCTTCGAAGCGGAACAACTCGTATCAGTTGCTTACATTGCGTGGCGTCGAAATCGGATAGGAGCAACACATCTGCAAATCTCGGCTGAAGATGGGCTCGAATGGCGGTCTCGAGCACGCAAGCTAGGTAGAGCGGAAAAGTTGATGCGATATTCAGGGGAGCGAAGAGTGATGAAGTATCTCGGAGACCGCCTACAGGGGCGCTTACTAAACCATGTCGTCTGGTACACCCACACATCAGCCACGCTAGCATCCCTGTCACGCTACCCAGTGCCGACACTAAGGGGCTTCTTCATCATTGTCTGGAACCGAACATGAATTACAGCAGACTTTATCTCGTCCCAATGGCCCACCGGACTGCCATCGGGACATGTCAGCTACGAGCGGCATCTCGCATGTACGGACATGAACTTGCATCCACATATTTCGCACGCAGTCGCCCGAAAATTCAACGTCCCCGCTCGTCCTTCTGATATTGGCCCAATGATGCCGTCGGCTGGGCCTACCAGCTTCTTCAAGGTCTCGCGGGAGTATTCTAGGCTGCTCCATGCTTCCGCCCTCACTGATCGTCTAGTAACATAGCCTTCCGTGAGCAGGGCGGACCAGTTAAAAGCTGCGATGCCGGTACTAATTTCGCCACCTACCTGCTAACAATGAGTGATAGCTTCATATTCCGAATACCGGTGACGGTACCCTCTCGGAGAAAGATGACATTGGCAAGCAACTCCGCTCAGCTGTAACAAAACCCTCTCACAGGCGTGGCTCTCGCAAGTCCAAGGATTACGACCTTCGGCATGCAACAATCCGTCGTGCGATCCAAGATGCGATACTGTCGTTGTTCGAGTGACTTGAGACCGCGATCAAGCGAGACAATCCCTATGAGAACGGGCCTAAGAAAGCCAAGCTTCAAACTACACAAGCACGGACTTCGATCATTGACATGTGATTCCGCGATAGGGTGCGGATCGCAACCACAAGCTAACTTGAACTCGGAATTTTATGCCGCCATCGTTGATCTGAGAGATCAAGGACCTGCGCGTGCAGGGTTGTGACTTGAAGCTTGAAGCTTGCTGCAGCTCGCAGTGACGTAGTGTTGTCTCTACGACATGGCAGCTTGCGACTGCTGCCCACCCATTCGTCGACTTCCAAGGCGCTCGTCGTGGTGACGTTTGAAAGTGTGGCGGTACAACCGTGAACGCTTCGAGTTGAAACATATAGCTTTTGGCAGTGGGAACCACCATCGCTACCAGTGCTCTCGATCTTTAGTCGGCGCCACAAAGTGTGACAAGATGCTTTCTTACTTCAACACAACTTCGTTTGCGCGCGCAAAGAAGAACAAAGACGATCTGGAGAAAAAGAATCCGCAGAAGCCAATATTGGGGGACGAGGATGAAAAGTTCTTGGGGCGAGTCGCTTCTTCAGACGAGGCGACCCGATCGGGCGAGGATGTAGCAGCTACCACGAAGATCACGGACGATGGGCAAGAGAAGATTGCGACGCAGGAGGAGCAAGCGCCCGGGCAGACAGTCGTGCCGGAGACACAGCCAGACGGCCCAGAAGTGTCGACAAGTCCTATGTCGAAAGAGAAGAAAAGCAAGAACGACAAAGCATTTGAATTGCCTAGCCAGGAGGAAGCAGAAGCTGCCACTCGAGGTTGGAACGATCAGGTCCGGATCGACGAGGGCAAGGGAGACGCACAAGGCGACAAGAGGACATGGGCATCGTACCTCCCGTCTATGACATCTTCGGGCAAGCTGAGCGGCGATGCACAACAGCAGCAAAGCGCAAGCGAAGGAGAGAACAATGATGACAAGCCCCGAACGTGGGCGCAGTATGCTTCGGCCTACACACCTTCTATTCCCGCCCTGCCTGCCTCCTGGAAGAAGAAGGGCAAAGACAAAGACTCTGATCCGGAGCCCGTGTACAACGAAGACGGCACCGTCGATGAAGAAAAGACCAGAGAGAAGCAGGAGAAAGAAGTCTCCGTTCTCCTCGACAACCTCAACATGTCCGCCATCAACAATCGCGTCTTCGCCCTCAATCAATCGACACAGAACATCTATGATCGTTTCGCCCAAGTTCTGAAGGACACTATCCACGGCGGGCCTACCGCGTGCGAGGACATGGAAAAGCTCATGAAAGAGGCCGGACCGCAGTTGGAGAAACAGTTCGAGAGCATGCCGCCTTTCGTACAGACTTTGGTCAAGAGCCTACCAACTAAGCTTGGCGCGACGCTGGGGCCGGAAGTGCTTGCCGCTGCGAGTGAGAAGCCTGGTGCAGACATGCAAGCTCGTCTCGACACTGCCAGCAAGGGAGAGAAATACGTCGAACCCCCCAAGACGGGCGAGAAGGGCAACCCGCCGGAGAAGAAGAAATCCAAACGCACGATTCCGGGCATGAAATCTCTGATCAGCAAGGAAGGTGCTGTTGCCGGAATCCTGAGAAACACGGTCAACTTCATCCAGACGAGGTTTCCGTTCCTGGCGAGTACGACGAATGTCGTCATGAGTTTGGCGGTTTTCAGTAAGTCGTGCAAAAAATCTCCGTTTGACCTTTTATTCCCCCCTTTTGCTTTGCAGATATATATTCTAACAACTTTCTGTTCTAGTTCTCATGTTCGTCTTTTGGTACTGCCATAAGCGCGGCAAAGAAGTGCGTCTCGCCAAAGCTGTAGAGGCAGAGAAAGCCGGCGGCACAGATGGCCGAGTTGAAGAAGTTGATGATGATGACGAGGACGACGACGAAGAAATCGAAGCCACTGATGATGATGATGCTGAAGATGGAGAGGTGGATGAGGGCATCGCGGCTGAGATTGAGAAGAATCTCAACCAGCCGCAGCCCTCCGAGGTGCCGCTTCCCGAAGAGCAAGACAAGAAGGCGACTTGAATGCTCGACTGCTTTTTGATCGGAGTTGGCTCAGAACGGATGTGACGTGCCAAACACTGACGCGAATGATGAGTATATGAGCGGTGTGGAAAGCGTTGGGAGAGATACGGTAACCTGTTGGATAGATCAGATACCCCTGTCTATGATTTTTGCATGCGTACAAAGCGCTTTGGAGAAACCTTTGTCGATGTCTTCAACGCAGCCGTGATTTCCATATTTTCGGACAGAAGGGTACATGTGATGTGTACGTTTCTCTTGAAGATCCTGAACGTAGAAAGCTATTGTATAATTTCTGATACAGAATGAGAGCGCAGACTCATGGGGATCCACTATTCACGTGCTCCAAGGCATACACGGCATACCAACGACCCACCCACCATGATTTTCACACAGCCTTCTCACTTGCAATCACCTTCGCATCCCTTTCTCAATCAAGCACATCTCCTTCCCCTCCTCCTCCTGATCCTATCAAAAATGCAATCCATCTAGACATTTTAAAAAAAAAAGCCCACAAATCACCCATGAACGTTAAAAGGCCAAGCAAGCTTCAAATTATCCGAATGGAACTTACACCATGCCTCATGCGCCGTATTCCCGACATTCCTAATCTCCCGATGACTCGCCAGACACTCCCAGCAGAATTCGAATCTACACTTCTTGCACGTCATGTGATCGCACCCGTCGATCTTCTGGATGCGCCACCCACAATTCGGCCCGGGACATTTCTTGCTGATGGAGTCGATGATGGCACGCGTGGCGGCTTCTTCGTCGCGGGATTTCTGGCCGGATGTGCGGTAGGTGTATTGCGTGCATGTTTCGCCCGTGTGCCATGGAACGCGGTGATGGAGACATTGTTTGTAGCCGCAGGCGACGCAATGCATGTAATTTTCTCTGTCGTTCTCGCTTCCGTCGGCGGAATTGTTGAGTTGACCAGATGTGCAGGTTGGGGAGAGACACCAGGCGAATTCGGGGAGGGAGGATAGGGCGTTTCGGGTTATGAGTGTTTCGTAGGCCGTGAAGGTGCTTTCGGTGGCGAGTCTCCGCACGTCGCCAAACGCGAGGACTTGGGGACATTCGGCACATTTGATGTTCTCGCTACCGTTGCTGTCGAGTTCGGATGCAAGCCAGGAATGCATACACTCGAAGCAAGTCCGCGAGGGATGTTCGCATTGCGCTGTGGGTGGTTTTGCTGGAAAGTCGAGAGGGTGTTTCGAATCGCCGCAGCAGATACATGTCCTTTGGGATGCAAGCTCGGCAGCTAGACGTTCCTCTTCGTCTTGGAGTCTCTGAGTCTCAATCTGGTCTCGCTCTAATTGGAACATTTGCTCCAGGTATTCTTGCCTTTGAAGAGCGATAGCCTGATCTCGCGTCTTCAATTTTTGCAATCTCTCCTCGCGTGCTTGCTCTTCCCGTTCGACATCAATGGCCAAAGCAACTGTCTGCGCATCTATGTGGCTGAAGTCGACTCCATCGTTGGTGTCCATCGCCCGAGCTTTTCCCTTGCCTTCATAGACTGTTGGTGGTTCGTGGCCCAACTCGATCCCGCTGTCGGTAGGACTTGCAAGGTCCGGCTGAATCAGATCCCAAATATCAATCACAGCACGTAATTGCGTTTCGGTCATCGCGTCCCAGTCTAGACCCCGAATTGAGGGCATAGGCCCCGGGTCAGGGTGGGAGCCTTCTGATTGTATGCTTTGGTCATCTTCGAGGAGTAACAGGTCGCTGGAAGCACTGTCCATTCTTCTCCTTCCCCACATGTCCTGGGCAAGAGCGGCTTCGCCATATGGATTGCTGTACACCGGTGACGATGGCTGTGGTTCAAGTGTATGGTTGTCTCGAACGCGGCGAATATTTGCGGGATGCACAGGAAGGCCGTAGCGGTCGTAACGGCCGTCAACCATCAACTCATCACCCCTCATGATAAAGTGGTCGCGAGGAGGAGACTGGTTGGCTTTTGAGACACCTTTCCCAAACTTGCGCGTGAGTTTGGAGAATATGGATTTCTTCTTATGTCTCATTTCCATGACGCTCGAATAGTCTGCGTTGGGGACATCGGGCGGTTCGCTTGCAAAGAGTGTTGTGGAGGAGCTTCCTGATTTCGTTCGGAATGGTTTGGACAAGCGGGAACGTGAGGGCCCTGGTGAATTAGTCTTTGATGAGGATGGTCCTGGAAATCCTGGAGGGCGGACTTCGTCATCTGGTATGGTTCGAGAGGGAAGTGAGAACTTGCTCGTTGTCTTCGCTGGCGGTCCGTCGATGGCGGGACTCATGGTTGCCGCTATACCCAAGGTCTGGCCCTTTTTCTTCAACTTTGCATTGGATCTCTTCAGCTTTCCAGCATATGCATATTCCATAGCTACACTCATCATAACTGCCATGGTTACGCAAGTAAAGAGACAGCTCTAACAAGACTTGGAATGAGACATGACAAGGTGGGAGACTGGGTCTGAGCTGGGGGCGAGTATAGGTGCGATGATATTCCAACCACAGTCAGTGGGTGAACGGGATTGCTGCGGTGCGTGAACAGCCTTCCCCAGGGCACAGCCGTCACGCGGCTGGCACGTTCAAATGAGCTTAGAGTTGGCAGACGGGCGTACTGACCCAAGCAGAGCCTTGCAAAGGCTGGGATTCAGTCAAGTGGAGCAGACAGAAGGAGAAGGCGAGTAGCGGAAAGGTAGATAGTGGTGACCGACCTCAGGTCGCTTTTGACCTCGGGGAGCAAATCAAAGTAAGCAGATGAACGGACAGTGCCCCACTCGAGTCTTGTGTTGGATGAGAAGCACATTTCTGTTGGGAGTGCGGTTCGTGGAGCATGAACCCATTCAAAGGAGCTGGTAATCCTTGGCGTTTTGTCCTGAAGGCTCCCATTTTTGGTCCATGCGGATGAGGGAAAGCTTCTAGGGAATGTCCCGCAGAGTCGTTGGTAGCACCCTGGGGTATGGTATCTTCGCATGGCCGATCCGGATGATGGTTATTCTGCCTTCATCTACGCCGTCTGCGTCTGCGTTGTTGCTGCATGCGGATTGACCGCACAGGCTCAGCCGCAATACCTGAGGCCGCCTTCTTGCCAGAGCCACAGCAGTGCACAGCAGGGCACAGCAGGCCAACATACAAGCTACCGGCCTCGGGAAAGGATCGCTGCTGCGGCAATGTACGTGTGCCTGGTGTCTGCATCGCCGCCTGTTGGAGTCGAAAGGTATCGTGATTCGGTAGGAGGCAGATTGACTGATCAGCAGGAGGCAGGTAGATGTGAGGTATAGCAAACAATCCTGACAGACAGACAGAGGCGCATGCGCAGAACCTATACGAGGTGCATGTCGTGAGCTAGAAAGGTTGGAGGCGCGAACTGAAACCTGAGGCAAGAAAATCGGAGCCTCGGCAGGCGGTTGCCCGGGAGACGCGATGACGCCTCCGCCCAAACAACATCCACCCGCGCGCCTCCCACTCCAACACCGCGTATTCGAACAGTAAGCATCAAGCAACCTTTCATCAGCGTTATCGAAATCACATTCTCTCGGCAACCGAATTCTTGCGCTCTCTATCCCTACTGCATTCATAACACACCCGCTGCAATGCCCGCAAGGGCCTCGGGCTCAGACGGGCCTGCCGTCTCCCTCTCTTGTAGGCACTGGCTGAGATTCGAGAGTCAAACAACTTTGCTAACATTTCTGCAGTCGCAAACAATTTCTGGGGCAAAGATGACGCCGGCGTCGGTCCCCTACTCGAACGAATGCACGGTGCCAAGGTCACGAGCGACGAGTTGAAGGCCTTTTATTCCGCGCGAGCCGCGATCGAGGAAGAGTATGCAAAGAAACTGCTCAATCTGGCCAGGAAGCCCTTGGGATCATGCGAGGCCGGTACTCTGCGAATGTCTCTGGACGTGGTGCGCGGCGAAGTCGAATCCATGGGAAAGGCACATCAGACTATTGCCGCGCAGGTGAAGAGCGAGCTGGAGGAGCCGTTGATTGCCTTCACCGGGGGCATTAAAGAGCGCCGGAAGATTGTACAGAATGGCATCGAGAAGCTTCTGAAGACGAAGAACCAGCAGACGGCGACTGTCAACAAGGCACGAGATCGATTCGAACAAGACTGTCTAAAGATCAAGGGATATTTAGCGCAGGGCCACATGGTCATGGGACAGGAAGAGCGCAAGAACAAGGCGAAGCTGGAGAAGACACAAATTCAGATGTCGAGTAATAGCAGCGAGTACGAGGCCGCAGTGAAGGTGCTGGAAGAGACGACTGGTAGATGGAACCGCGAGTGGAAAGCAGCGTGCGACAAGTTCCAGGATCTCGAAGAGGAGCGGCTCGACTACTTCAAGAGTAGTCTTTGGAGCTTTGCGAACATTGCTTCCACAGTCTGCGTCAGCGACGACCAGTCCTGCGAAAAGATCCGTCTGTCTCTGGAAGACTGCGAGGTCGAGAAGGACATCTCCACATTCATCCAGGACTCCGGCACTGGGCAGGAAATACCCGACCCGCCCAAGTACATCAATTTCTGCCGTGGCGATATCGACGATGTCATCTCCAGTCACGACTCGGACGATGACAACTATTCTGTCGCTCAATTCCAGCGGACTATGAATCCAACCTTCCGTACCTCCTCGCCCCAACCGAGCACGCTCGAATCCCACCACGACCCCGAGTCAAGCCTACGGGAAGAGATGGGTATACCCAAAGGCCGCGCTACATCTGTGCAGGCAGACGACTCTTTCACTGCCCAAGCACGTAGCTCTCATGGGAGTGCATCGTTCTCAGCGCAAGCTCGGAGTTCTCATGGAAGCGCAGCTCCTCCACCTCTCGTACCCAGCCAAGCGTCCGGCCATTCGAATCCATATGCAGATCCGTATGCCGAAGCACCCAAGATTCCTCACAACCCATACCCAACAGATGGCATGACCCAATTCTGCCGTCCAACTGCTCCCTCCGATCGGAGCTCCAACAGACCTTCCAGTCGCGATAGCCAGGACCACAGCGACTACTCTGCTCAGAACTCGTACATAAGCACGGCACCCACCAGTGGTAATGTTTCGCCTGTCAAGCAACACAATGGCTCGGATCTGTCAGCTATTTCGAGCATGTCTGGCGCATCCGCACTTGAGGAGAAGCAAGTACAGAAAAAGAAGAGCGGCTTCTTCCAATCTCATAGTCCGTTCCGCAGACGTAGCCAGAAGAGCAGAGAAAACTTCCAGCCGTCTCAGTCGAACGTTCCAACCCCGACCGCGCGCAACACCTGGACGCCTGCCACGGCTCGCAAGTCTGAGAGCGCCAATGCTAGTCCAACGAAGCCCTTCGGCGCTGGTGGCCGTGCGAACACCTGGAATAAGCAGCCATCTGTTAGCCCCGACCCGGACGTGGATCCACGGGCAGACTACCAGCTGGGCATTGGTAACAACGTTTTTGACGTGGCTTCGCCGGATTCTCGCAAGAAACCTCAAGCTAGGAAGGGCGACGAGGCCCAGCTGGATCCAATTGCTCAAGCCCTCGCCGAGTTGAAGGGGGTGGCGAAGCAAGCCTCTGTTCGTCAGTCTGCGGACCGGCACTACGGTATGTCGACACCAGCACCGGGAGCAGATAGGAACATGCCAGCTGGCTCAGTGCCCACGCCTTTCGCCAACAGCGGCAACCGCTCGACCCCGCCCCCAGCGTACAATCCGCCGGTGAGCAGACTGGGTGCGCCTCAGCCAGCTCATACCAAGCGAGAGATGCAGAAGACCACGGAGCAATATGTGGGCCAGAAGCGTAACATGTTCAACAGCGGCGGACCATCTAGACCAGGCAGTGCCATGGGACAGAGCGCACCTCCACCCCGTGCAGCATCACCGCAGCCACCACGAGCCACCAGCCCTCGACCTTTCGCCAATGGCGATGCTCGACAGCAGCAACCTTACCGTGCGAACTCACCCAATCCCTACGGTGGACCACCTTCTTCGAGATCGCGCGCGCAGTCGATCTCTCCTAACAAGGCTGGATCTGGTCACGGCGCAGGCCCAGGATATGCTCCGCGTGGTGGTTCTCCAGGCTTTGGCATGCCTCGCGCTACTTCACCCAATCCTGCATACAGCCGGCCGCCCCCTGGATCTGGCAGTCGGCCACCTAGCAGCCGTGGCTCAGATAACGGCGGAGCCAATGCCATGGTCCTCGCTCCTGCTCCAAACGCTGCGGATGGATATGGCTCGCAGCGTGGTGGTAGGCCACAAAGCTCATACTATGGTGATGGCGGAGGCTATGGTCCCAACCAGGTCTCGACGCGGGTGAGAAGCCAGAGTCAAGGAACTCAGCGGCAATTCACCAAGGACGGGAGACCCATTTTGCATTATGGTAAGTCATGTCGTACCCACGCAATTCAAGTGGAATATCTTGCTGACACTTTTCCTCTCACAGCTCGAGCCATGTACATGTACCAAGCCGCTATTCCGGAAGAACTCTCCTTCGCCAAAGGCGATATCCTCGCCGTGACAAGACATCAAGACGATGGCTGGTGGGAGGCTGAAGTCGTCGGCAAGAACTCTCCGCTGGGGTTAGTTCCTTCAAATTACCTCAAGAGTTGCTAAGCGGATTCTCTCGAGGAGTGTCTGCCCACTGCGCACGCATTGGGAAGGGTCGGAGAGTTTGACGCAATACCGCTCTTCCCTTCTGAAAGTCCATGGGAGTCTGAGGAAGAGGTCTACGATTTGAAAGTTTGGGGCTGATGAGGTGGCACGTATGGTTGGTTGGCGTGAGGCAGTTTTCGATTTTCGATTTACCATCTGTGATGCGGGTCTCCGGGCTGATGGACGGGGTGTTGGGTCAGGCCAGATTGCTACGGTCTTTGAGGCTCGGAGTTGCTGAGTACATACGTTCTTCGTGCTTTTCCATGTTCATGACTGGGAGATCCGCTCTTTGACGGGCGTTGGTTTGTACAACGAGTAGCTTTTACGCAGTAATGGGATTTTTGTCCAGCGAGCTGGTTCTTCATTGCGCCCGGAACTTGCTGGCGAGGACCATGAGGAGAGAGAGCTCTTTTCTTTTACGTCACGACTTGGGTCTGGTACTTGTGTATCCGTGACCTCTAGCATCATACGGCACAGAGCAGCACATACTATATAATAGGTTACCAACGACAACGAACGACCTGTGGGGACGGATGCTCAGCTCCGACGTTCCACATCCATGATATCACTACTAGCTCCAAGCAATCTTGATTGACCGGAAGCACACAGCACAAGCAATTCCCCATTTCGAAGTGCCTTGCCCATTATTCATCGTACACAGCCTAGCCAACAACCTAACTGCTGATCACAACTCCAAATATGGCCGACGTACAAGACAGCACAGGCCCATTATACTTCTGGCGAGAATTCGAACAGCCATACGGTTTCCTCTCCCAATGGTACGAGAGTCCCTTCGAAGTCGACGGAATCACGTACCAGAGCGCGGAAATGTGGATGATGGTGCAGAAAGCGAAACTATTCGGTGACGAGGTCAACTCTCCCCAGAAATGGGGTTTTAAGAGAGGGTGATGGTTGTACTGATGTGTCGAGATAGGTGATTGCAGAGCAAATGCTGCAGACCACGGTGCCGTCGGAGCATCAGAGATTGGGCAGGCTGGCGAAGGGGTTTGAGAGGAAGAAGTGGGATCAGAGTAGGGTTTCCGGCCCTTTGTAGGGTTTGCTGGTTGGACTGACTGCTGTTGGTAGACAAGAGCCGCATTGTCGAGGAGGGGAATTACCATAAGTTTACCAAAGCGAAGGAGAGTAAGCACATGATGAGTGCTTTACTGCATACCGGTGATAGGGAGCTCGTCGAGGTAGTGCCTCATCGAGAGCCATGCCCATTTCTAGACTCTCACTGACGGTGATCGCAGGCTTCGCCAACAGATCGGATTTGGGGCGTTGGGTTTGCAGCTCACGAAGCAGGAGAAAACCGAAACACATGGGGCGAGAATCTACTCGGTAAGGCGATCATGAAAGTGAGGGAGCAATTGCGGCGGGAAGGGTAAGCTAGTCGGGTCTCCCCAAAGGTCTGTCATTCAACTTTTAGGAGGTATCTTTATGCGCCTCTTATTGCAGCAGTCGGATAACCTTGATCAGATCGCCTGTCACACCCATTGCAGTAACGTCTCCTCCAGCGCCAGCTCCTTGAATGATGAGCGGATTGCTACCGTATCGCTTGGTATAGAAGCTGATGATGTTGTCGCTGCCCTTGAGCGCCGCAATGGGATGAGAGGCATCGAACTTCTCCAAGCCGACCTTGACCTGCTTTGATGGAACATCGATGCTTCCCACAAATCGCACCACCTTGCCCTCATTGGTCGCATCCTCTTTGATTGTCTCCATCTGGCTGTCAAACTGCGCGAGTTTCTCCATAAATTCATCTCCTGAACTGCATGATTCTAGCTCTTTTGGAATGAGAGATTGTACCGGGAATGATGTCGGCGATTCCACTGGCAGGCCTGCTATTCTGGCCAAAATCGTGAGCTTTCTTGCCACGTCCAAGCCGTTTAGGTCGTCCCTTGGGTCTGGCTCGGTGTATCCCAACTCTTTCGCCTTCTTCACTTCTGCCGCGAACTTGCCGCCTCCTCCGCCGAGCGGCTGAAAGGAATTGAAGAGGAAGGACATGGTACCCGAGAATACACCCTCGATCTTGGTGACCTCATCGCCTGTCTCTACTAGCTCTTTCAGAGAGGAGAGCACAGGAAGACCAGCGCCAACTGTGGACTCATGGAAGACATAGCCGTTGCTAGCAGAGCCGGAGCCATTGGCTGCGGACTTGAAGATGGAGTCCCAGAGCTCGTACCTGTCGGAGAAGGCTTTCTTGTTGGGAGTCACGACGCTGATGCCTCGCTGGAGGACCATAGGGTAGAGTGACGCCAGGCCCACATCGGAAGTATTGTCAACAAGCACGACGCGACCGGGAGCGCGTGCGAGCTGGCCAAAGGTCTCATTGAAAGGTGGTGGCGGCGTGCCATTCTTGTCGAGCTGAGCGGATACAGTGTTGATGTCGAGATGCTCCCAATTGGAGTTGAAAAGCTGTTTCTGGCTTCGGCGGGCGAGGATGAGTCGGAGGTCAATGGCAGGGCTCTGTTGAGCCAGGCGTTGGCGGAGGAATTCGAGTTGTGACAAGAAAGCTTTGCCCACGCCACCCAAGCCGACGACGGCAATGTAGATTTGTTTGGCCATGTCTCTGTTGTGAGGTCGCTGGTCGCGTGTGGGTGTGGTAGGAACAATTATTCACTTACCCCAATGCCCCTCCTTCCCAATTTTGAGATGGCGTCACATGCAGGGTCCAGCCCCACGAGGCAGGACAGGTACCTTACGTAAACCTCCGTGATATGTGCATCTTACTACACCAAACGTCTCCGCTGATCTTCAAGTTCATACCCCCGAACAGCATGTCGTCGAAAGACTCCCATCTGTACGGCGGAGAGCGAAAGCGAAACCTCAATAATGGCAAAGAGATTTCATCCTCCACTACGCTCTCCTTCACCTCCCAACTGAGCTCCCTTATCAACAGCTCCAAAGATACCTCGTCTCCTAAACAACCCACTGGTCGATCCAAGGCCAAGAAGGAAGACATTTTCGCTACCCACAACCGCAATTCCGCGAAGCGTGCAAAACGCGATCTCGAACCGGATCATGCAGGCACTTTCGAGCAGAAACACACCACGAATGGCGAAGCCCTTGACAAGAATGTCTGGGAAAGGAGCAAGCGCAAGATGGAAGAGAAGGCCCGTCTGTATGCCGCGATGAAGAGAGGCGACATAGACGATACTGACGAGAGATATGCTGTGGACTTCGATACCAAGTGGGCGGCGGCACGCGCGGAAGGGAAGGATGACATCTCAGACGACGAAGATCTTGAAAGCGACAAAGGCGTCGGCGGTGAGGAAATTGAATACTTGGATGAGTTTGGACGACTTAGGAAAGGAACGCAGCTAGACGCACTGCGCGCACAACAAGAGCTTGCCAGGATGTCAAGCTACGACGACAGGTTTACTGCAAGACCCGCTGCTCCTGAGAATGTCATCTACGGGGATGCGATTCAGCACGAGGCTTTCAATCCGGACGCGCCTATTGCGCAGCAAATGGAGGCTCTGGCTCGTAAGAGAGATAAGAGCTTGACACCACCTCCTGACGAGCATTTCGATAGCAACAAGGAGGTCAGGACTAAAGGCACTGGATTCTTTCAATTCTCAGAGGACGCCGAGCAGAGGGAGCGGCAGATGCAAGACCTGGAGAACGAGCGTGCGGAGACAGAAAGAAAGCGAGCAGACACAGACGGCAAATTGAGTGATCGCAGGGCACAGCTCGAAGCGCGGAAAGACGAAGTGAGACGCCGCATTGCGAAGCGCAAAGCCGATGAATTTCTCGAGCAACTGAGTGCACAGATGAGCAAACAGTCTGCCGATGAGAAGGGCCCCGATACCACGGAGAACACAAGCGATAGAATGATGAACAGGGGACAGGGCGCTGCCAGGAAGGACGTAGATGATTGATATGAGAGCAGCGACCTCTGTTGATGCCGGACCCAAAATCTCGCCTTCGGCAGTCTGTCGTATAACTACGAGTATCGTGAAGCCACTTATCGGCATCGATTCTCGCATTGCAATCTCTTGCGAAAGCGCAAGACTAACCTCAGCCGAAGTCTGCCAGAGGTCTTACCGAGCGCTGGTATATTGATGAAGAAGCTGACATGTTCGATATTGTAATAGCTGTGGTTGGCGACAATATCAAGCCCGCTGTGCCCGTGCAGTCTATCCAGGATAAGTTGCGCGCTATTGCGCACCGGCGAGCGAAGCACGATGCCTCTACTTGATGAAAAGCAGGCGATCTACAAGAAGCCAAAAGCATGAACTTGCCTCGCTAAATCCTGCCGCTGCCGCCTACTCCTTCATATCTTTGATCACTTCCACATCGTGCATGTCGTCCACATCTCTACCGCCCAGCCCGGCAACACCTACACCAAGCGGGTTCCTTTCAGCGGCATTCCCGTATTGGGAGGCAACTTGACGACCTGTCCCTGGATTTGCGGGACAGTGTCCAAATCTTCCACCCAGGACGTCGAAACAGCGGGGTGGTGCTTCGGGGCCTTGACATGGACCTGGCGGTGGACCGCAGTAAAGACCTATAACATGTGTGTCAGAAATGCCTACACTACCAACTGAGGCCGAACTCATTCTCACCGAGCAGTGGGTCTAGCACTATGTGGCAGCATTGATATGCCGACGAAGGGCAATCACCATCTGCGTGCAAGAGACCTCCGACAAGATTTCCTGCACCAGGCAGAATGCAATTCTCAGTTGCCGGGGTTAGGTCGTAGCACGAGAGATCAGTCAAAAGCTCGACCGGCGCATTGTCCCCATTAAAGGTCGCGGCGCAGCAGCGGAGCTGACTTCCATCTGGAGGACGAATAATGGTTAGCCAAGAGCGCGAAGTGGTGGGTATCTGCACTTGCCTGTGCACACTGGTTCTTGGCTTGGGGACCAGCTCTGTGGGACTGCACGAGCGAAGCTAATAATGAGGCTGACTGCTGACCAAAGTTGATCTTTCGCCATGATCGCGTCGAAAAGCGGTTTGAGACCGGAAAGAGAAGTGAGGCGAAAGGAAGAGTTCTCACGGCAGCAAAGTGACTCCCTTCCAACGGCAAGGAAGTTGATATTTATTTTCCGGACCCGGGGACATTGGTATGGCAGCAAGGTCCTACCCAGGCCTCAGTCGCGGTAATTGCGTACCGTGCAGGGCTAACACCTTGGTGCGCAATCGGGCGATTCTTCCAAGTTGGACGAGAATTCCAAGGAGTTGCTGCAAACTCAAAGCTTTGTCGTCAGCTCTACGTACTCGCGGGTTGCGGACGTGGTGGCAACGAACGACTGTGTCCGGCTCGCAGAGTGGCCCGCTGAAAGTCTTCCTGCTGGAGCTTTCTGTCCAAAGTGCCTTCAGCCCTGCGCTCAAGCTTGCGAACGCCAGAATGGGGTGGATTGCGCCTGTCGCAAAGAATTCGAGGAACTCTGGCAATCTCCTGAGGCTAGGTGATCCCTGGGTGCAAGGAATATGTACTTGGCTACTGTAAGGCACTTGGCTCAATGGTCTTTTTATCTCGACTACAAGTCCTCAAACCGCATGCGACTACACAGCACACCAGAATCATGCTCTCAAACATCACAGTCGGATCGATACAGCATGGCCTTGCTTGAAGATGGCGAGAATGACGCGCAAGGATCTTACCTATCTGGCATATGATGTTTCGGCCTAGGATTCCGCATGAGACTGGCAACCACCGGGGAAATCGTTGCTGCTGGATACAACGTTCATTTGTTGATGGCATCAAGGCTGGCGTAAACTCGTAGTTAAGTCCTCCTGCAAAGACACCTCGCTTGAACGCCGAACACCCAATCATAGACAACCCTCCTCTCCCACTCATCAGCTATGGGGCTGCGGACCAGGCGGCCCCCTTGCCAGAAGAAGATGCGGTGCTAGAACCAGCAGGGCCACCAGAGGCACCGCATGCACTGCAAATCTCTGGGGCAGTTGTAGGATCGAGACTCACCGCAAGTGGAAGTGCTGCCGGCACTGGTGCTCAACCCTTCTTTCGCTCGCCGGCGCCATGTTCACTGCTATTGCTGTCGACACGATCTTCGGCGGCTGCACTTACAGCAAGCTCTCCGTGGAGCCATGATACCACTGCAATGATTTGCATGGCGGAGTCGATACCTACTCCGCGGCAGCCATGCAGTCTTCCACCCTAGCCTGTAAGCCCTGCTGCGTCTTCGTTGAAAGTTGGAGCTCATGCATGCCGTTAAGCACGGCGCGTAAGCCTGGCAGAGTCTCCCTTCGCCGAAAAAAAAACCAGCTTATCTGAACGTCACCTGCATTCGAAAGCTCGATGTGACGCTCGGTAAGAAAAACATGCGAGATACGCCGCAAGGGCATATTCGGCTTCTTTGCCAATGAAGCAAGGAGATAATCGAGGACCGCTTCTACTCATGTCCGATTCTTTGCGTTCGTTTGCGCACGCCCAGTTCGAAGCTCCCAAAGCAGTCCGATATTTCCTACAAAGTCCGTCTCCAAAGTTGAGAGACGAGATCAACGGTCACGAGATTCGAAGTACGATGCATGTAACTCGGAGTGCGTGCACGCGCTGCACTTAGCATTTGTCCTGCCTTTCAAATAAGAGCTTGCTTGCCTATCACAGATCAATCCGAGGAAAGTCTCGCGCAGACAGTAGCACTGAAAATCTGCGGTTTTGAAGACGTGCGAAAGCGCCGTATGTCCCGAGAAGACATAGAACAACACGTATCCTGCTACATCTCCTATGCGGTCAGAGCTTTCCCGGAAAAGCAAGAAGATCATTCTCACAATAGCACGATCCGGAATCGGGCGTGAGACGGCTAAGGCTTCTGCTACTGCTGGGTGTAATTCGATTTTACTCCTGGGCGGTAGGCGGGAGGAATTGACGGCTGAAACAGCAGCAGCCGCCTCCTCCGAAATCAACGATGTCCAGGTGGACCGCACTGCGATCGATGTGAGGAATGATGCTCTTGTGAAGGAGAACGTCTTGAACAACTGGACAAACTGGGATGTTTTATTTCTCAACGCCGCCAATTTCTCATCGCCGGCAAGGATCATGGAAGCAGAGCTGGATGACCGGGCCATGTCGTAGGAGATCAATGTTAGTCAGGGTGACCTTAGGTTATCCAGGCTCTGTTGCCGAAGCGAAGTCCAAATGCCGGCATTATTGGCACATTCTCCAAGGCATCTGTGATCAGAATTGTCGCTGTATGGGATAGCCCATCTGCTGGATCGGCGTAGAGCTGAAAGCCCGTGTCTGTCGAGATGTTTGGATCTTCATCACAGAGTATGAGCCTCCAATTCAATCTCAAGCCCTCTGCGCCTGATTGACATCTTCGCTTTTGGATACGTAATCATCGCGGTTCCATGTACCCTCCATCTAGCCATCTTGGGTTCGCTCAATTGGAAGTCGTCCTCGAGAGTAAGTGCACCATGGCGACCTTGACCTCTTTGCCGGCGAAGAGCCTGTTCGAACATGTCAGCACACCTCTAACACAAAAGTGGCTGGAAACTCAGCTTCCAGGGTCAGCCTAGAACAGAAGAAGTTGAGGTCATCAGCAGCTGTAGAAAAGCAGTACTCAGGGCGTATGGCTCACATGTCTACCGTGCGCGGATCGTAGATTTTCTGGAGACGTAGCGATCAGATGATTGCGGTGTTCCGCTGCAGTGCTTCGGCTGGAAGATCCTGGATGAGAGTCTGGCGACCCGTTTCAAGAAGTCCTGTCCAAGATCGACCTTGTGCCAGGCTTCGTCGTTGGCGAATTCGTTTCAGGAATCGTCGAGGCACCGCGACATCTCGATCAATAGGGCCTTGGCGAAATTGGAGAGAGATACACGTCAAATTCTTAATGACTGGACGGACGGTATAGTGAAATGCAAGTTGTACCTGTCAGATGAGATGCGAGGCTCAAGATGGCAAATGGATGTCATTCAGCACAGTGAGTGGCCCCTTACTTGCAGGTCGTTGAGTATCTCGCGGCTGACAGTCCGACTCCTCTCAGCACGTTGCCATTGGGATTGACTCCGCATCTTGTTGAGTCTGGTCTGTACACTTTTGCAGGTGATCGACGAAAGAGGGAGTAAGAAACGACTGTAGGTTTCATACCGTAACGCAGATGTGAGCCCACCCGAGATACGCGTCTTTTACGCGTCTTTGACGCGTCTTTTGCGCTTGTCTTTCGCGACTGCCACTTCTCTTACACACCCTCGAGATCGCTATACAACTTCCATCCATAATTCAAATCCTTAAAATTGAACCGCAGCTGCTTATCGAGAGCATCGATACGCTCGATGTCGACCTTTTCGAGCTCGAAGTCGCCCGCCAGATTCTCCTCCTGCTGCCACGGGATCGTGCTCTTTGGGATGACCTGGGAACATCCAGATCAGCCCGATACTAGCAAGATGAAGAACCTGAAGACTTACACAGCGACCTTTTGAGATGCCCCAGGCCAGCACCACCTGGGCCGCCGACTTGGAATACTTCTTTCCGATCTCGTGGAGGACCTGACAAAAGTCAACACTTCTTCAGAATACCAGGAGGAGTTATCACACGCACTGGGTCGTCCAGAAGCTGAGGCATACTCTGTCCGTGCTTATAGAACGTGTTCTGATTCGCGAACGGACTGAAGGCGATGAGCTGAATGCCTTGCTCTTTGTGCCACTCCACGAAAGAGTGCTGGGCCAGATATGGATGGAGCTCCATCTGATGGACTGCTGGGGCCTGATAATCTTAGCATTGCCCGTGATCGAAGATCGCTAATACTCACGATCTTGCAGTGCTTCAACACATTCTGCATTTCACTTTTGCTGAAGTTCGACATTCCGATGGCCTTGACTTTGCCGGTCTTCAAAAGATCTTCCATGGCCCCCCAGGTGTCGATATAGCTTGTGTCTCCCATGATCATGTATCCCGAGGCATCTTCGCGAGGAAAGCGCACTGGGCCGCGTTTGAATGTGCATGGATAGTGAATCAAGAACAGATCAATATAATCAAGCTGCAAATCTCTCAAGGACTCGTCAAGGGCTGGTTCGACGTCGTCGGGATGATGACAGTTGCTCCAAAGCTTGGTGGTAACGAAGATCTCATCTCTGGGGACCTTGCTCTTCTTGATACCACGGCCTACTTGGAGCTCAGTGTCGTAACTTTAGCCTGTCAGCTACAGTTTCAGACGTGGTGGGCGGTCAACGATACACTCTCGCTGCGTCAATGTGGCGATATCCCAATTGCAAGGCACCTGCAACTGCATCTTCTTGTTGATCTGGATCTTGAAAAGTTCCCAGTCCAATTGCTGGAATGCGAGCTCCGGTGTTGAGCTGAAACGACCTGGCCTTGGATTGGACACTTCGAGACAACCATCTTGTGGCCCCAACTTGAGCGACAAGTTTACGAGAGACGAAAGCACTTTTCGAGAGCATAGTGGTGTCTTTGATTGCTGGTATTGTATATCTAAGCAAAGTCAACGACACCCGTCGTCTGCATCGCATACTGCGAAACCGTCTGCAGGCTGGTACAGCTGATCGACTCAACCTGCAGCTCATAACCACGTTTCGGGGTCGTCTATACCGAACATCGCACGCAGCTGGACCGAACCGAGTCAACGACAGCCAGGATTGCAGCATCCACTTCATACTGAGAACATCAGCGCTTTTGCAATACCCACATTGACTAACAATAAGAATCATGGCTTGTCTGCTAGCTGGAAAGTCCGCGATCATCACTGGAGGTGTGACCGGAATTGGTCGTGCCATCGCAGTCGAATTTCTCCGGCAAGGTGCATCCGTTACCGTCAATCATTTGGGGGATGAAGCTTCTCAACGCCATTTGCAAAGCTTGCAAGACGAAGCCCCCCCAGGCAAACTGCTCGCAGTCGTCGGAGATATTGGAAATAGGGAAGTTGGCACGACGCTCGTGAAGGCTTCTGTCGATTCTTTCAAGACCCTGGACATCTTCGTGGCCAATGCAGGCGTTAGTCAATTTAGAGACTTCTTGAGGTTAGACGTCGTGCCAAATCCCAACAGAATATCTGGGAGAGCTGACCCTGCTCAGTCTTGATGAGAAGACGTTCGAAGCCCATCTCCACACAAACATTCGAGGCACATTCTGGTCCACACAAGCGGCTGCCTCGCAAATGGTCAAGCAAGGGCGAGGAGGTAGCATCATAGGCATTTCTTCCATTAGTGCTCACCTTGGTGGCGCGCAGCAAGTGCACTACACGCCGACGAAAGCGGCCGTCCTCAGCATGATGCAATCTCAAGCATGTGCTCTCGGGAAGTATGGCATCAGATGCAATGCTCTTCTGCCTGGCACGACGAGGACTCAATTAGCGGCTGAGGATCTTGCGAATGAAGAGAAACTCGAATACTTGGAACGACGAACGCCACTTGGCCGTGTGGGCAACCCAGACGATCTTGCAGGGCCAGCCGTGTTCCTAGCGAGTGATATGAGCAAGTACGTCTCCGGTGCGCAAGTCACTGTTGATGGTGGGCTCTCTATCTCCCTGCAATGATGCGATACAACGGATAGAAATTCAATTCCGCCTGGAGCTTTCTTCGACTGCAGACGCACAGACACGGTCGCCGCAACTGTTTTTTCTTTCCTCACTCCTTTGAACCCTCACCACTATTGGACATTACGACAGGCTCATCATCACTGCCGCTACACTCACTGATCCTCGATTTCTCTGCTTTCGCATCGATGATCTCTGTATGCTCTTCATAAAACTTCCGAGCCTCTGCTTTTGCCTCGGGCGTAAGAGGCAGCGGCGGCATTCCGGCATGTGGATGGGCTTTTGTAATACCTCGCGGTTACTATGCTTTACAGGGGATCGCATACTTCTTTGTGGCGGAGCGACCTAGGCCATGGGATATGTTGTCATTGATGAATCGCACTGATTGGTCCAGGATCTTTGAATCTGGATTGCCGCTCAGATTCTCCTAGATCTAGGAGTACAAACTACGCAGGCCGCGACCGTTGTAGCCGCAATTTGCCCGAAGGCTTCATTCCTTGCTCTCGACGCTCCTCAAGAACTGCACAGGGTCACTAGAGTCTGCAAACAAAGGCTCTCACTCAAAAAGAAAGGCTCAACGATGCAGGAAAGAGAGAGACAATGTTGTCGAGCTTGTAGAACAGTGTAGGGCAGACGTTCGTGTCTTGCGACTGTTCATGTACAATTTCGGCTACCGAGACAAGAGAAAGAGTCTTCTGTACAGACTTGTTGTTTGGTTTGGCGAACAATACAAGTTCCGAGGTCTTTGGGATTGACTTTGGGATCGACTTGAGCCAGGAGATGACTCTGATACGGAAAGTTTGGACAGCTCAGTCGCCTCCGCTCCCGTCAAGAACAATGGGGGTACAGACGCGCGAATCAGCTTTGGCTGCGGAACGCCAATGTCGCCGTCGTCAACATCCAGGTCTGCGATCATCCCAAAGTAACAACTCTAGCAGCACGGCGTCCGTTCGTAGCTACTTTCTCGCTCAGCCAGCGAACGCAAGAGTGGATGAGGCTGGCGACATGTTAGCTTTATCCCTTGCATCAACTAGGTTCCGGACATTTTTCGGCGTATCTTGCGCGCCGTGCATCTGATGCATCAGTCCGTGCGCCGCTGGTCTTGGCGTCTGGGATAACAGATGGCCGGATCACAGCTCTAGGAGCCGTGTGTCTTGTCGCATCAGGGAATCATGTCTGCCCAAGATCGATTTCGGATAGCTAATGGAAGGGCAGCATATTGGTGGCGGTACAGCGTCTCTGCACAGCCAAAACTGTTGTGTTCTCAAGAATGTTGGCAAAAGCCATGCCCATAGCAAGTCGCATAGGCGCAAATCAGCCGTTAATAACCGTCGAGATGATCGACTGATGTACCGAAACGCTGTAGTTCTCCGCGAACTTATTATCTTGGGTGCTCCGTGGAGAGGCCAGGCCTGCAGCACCACAGATGTATGTTGCTATGGATTCCCGTCCTCCTTAGGATTGTCTCCAGTTCAACAGTGGACTTATCGCTGGTCTTGGAGCGGGCATTATCTATTCAAGAAGCAGATGCATGGCAGTTATGCCAAGCAAGTGGCATTTCCCGGCGAGCCTTTGGAGCAAGATCTTCCATCTCCGGAAAGACACGGAGTGGTCCAGGACGTTTTCCACCGGCGAACCAGCTTTTGTCAGAATTGCGAACTCTCTTCACGTGCGCGAAATATGTGCACACGAACCTTGACCACTTGGACCGGCCATATGACACGCGACCGGGAATCTCCAGATCGCCATCGTAACATGGTCACCACGATGCTAAGTCGCAGAATCTCACTCGCCAGAGGAAGCATCATCATCACTGGAAGCGAAGAGGAATTCATCACTAGATTGCGTGTTCCACCAAGCCACATGCGTCCAGTCGCAGCCTGGGGACACGTCCAGCGTCGATCGACAATCTTCATTCCGCATTGGGACGGCGACAGCTGCAGAGGGCTGCCAGCAGCCGACCACAGTCCCATGAATTCCACCAGCGGAACCACGGATGTGCTCTTCACACACACACACACACCCACACACACAACAGTGCACACCATCGAATCTGATATGATACCTGCATCAATCGTGCACGCTTCAAACAAGCTTTCTACTCGATCTTGCTTCTTTTCTAACCTTAATCGTCAGAGGGCTCTGCCAATAGGGGAAAATTGATCCCACGGGATCGTCTTCACCCACCTCACGCTTGAGCATAGCGGGATACATTCGAGCTATACAACTGAGCAGGTACTCATAGACCGCGGTGAAAATCGTTGTATCGATCATGGCGTGCGTTCGAATGGAGGAAGAAGACGTCCCTCGCCTGGCACTTGATCAACTGCAAGCCCAGCTCGTTCCGGAGTCGTTGTCTGTGTGTGTGCCGCCAGGAAAGCTCGCTCTTTTCTCTCAGAGACACTGGGCATTTGACCACTAGAAGAAGACCGTCTGGGCTGAGACCGCGAATCCTGTGAACCACCAAACCCCAAGCCTACAGCATCGAAATTCCGGCACGGATGGGGGGGCCCCTTCCAACCTAACAGACGAAGCCACAAGACGCTGATCCGATCAGTTTCTCAGGTCCGGAGTTCCTCGCGACGTGGTCCCGACGATAGCCAAGGCGAGCAGACGTGAAGGACGTGACGGCTTGGCGTTCATTCAACTGGTTGCGAATGCATTCGTAGGCAAGCCACCGAGTCGCACCCCATCATCCCAAGGAACAGCTGAGCTTGAACAAAGGAAACAGCAGGAGATATATAAAAAGCTCCCCCATCGGCACGCAGCACTTCGAAGAGCAAAGGGGTGAAAGACCCATCCTAGCTCCATATCCTCGAAAAACCATCCTAGCTCCATAATCCTCGACTGTTCGTTCGTCGTCGTCGTCGGAATCATGCCTCTCAGCGCAGAGCAAGGAGCCCAGGTCCTCGAGGCACACGGAATCCTGTCGTGTCTGGCCTGGGGAGCCATCATCCCCCTCGGCGCCGTTCTCATCCGAGTCATCCCGTCCAAGAAGTCGTGGATCATCCACGGCGCCATCATGCTCCTCGGCCTCTCCATGGTGACGGCGAGTTTCGGAATGGGACTCCAGAGACTATGGGCATACCACCACGACGTAAGTCCATCGTTGGCGGACGCAGAGGAGATTCGGGCGAGACTTCAAATTTGCTGACGAAGATTTCCAGATCGGAAAATTCGCGCACACCATCATCGGCACCCTGCTCTTCGCCATGGCCTGGGTGCAACCCATTCTCGGCACGACACACCACTTCCTGTACCAGGTGTCCGGCCAGCGCAGTCTGATCTCCGCCATCCACGTCTTCTTCGGCCGCCTGTTCATCCTCATCGGCATGGTCAACGGCGGCGTCGGCTTGCTGCTGCGCGGCAACGCCACGCGCGCGGAGAATATCGCCTACGGCACCGTCGTCGGCGGCATCTGGGTCGTGTACATTCTGCTGAGCTTGGGGTGGGAGATTAAGCGGGAAACCCGAAGCGCGGAGGAGGGCAAAGGGAGGAGTGAGTCGGAGAGTAGTGATGTTTCTTCTTCCCGGAATATGGCCTCGGCGATGGCGATGAAGGCGTGATGAGAGACTTTTCGTGGCTGTTGAAATCTCATAACTGCACTAAAAATCTAGACTCCCGCCCGCTAAACATGTCTATGATATATATATATATGAGAAATGAAAATCGTGTCGCACAGCTCCCGCCTCAGCCTCCCTCCTCACAGGACCTCGACACCTCTCCTCGTTTCCGCACGACAGACACCTCGTCGTAAAAAAAAAGAATCTGAGATTGCACTCCACACGTACTTCGTCACTGGTTTCGTGACGAAGTCGTCGTCGGGGGAGAGACTTGCCCTCGCCATGTACTGTACTGGCCCAGAACGCAATGCACATCGTTTGCAAAGGGAAAGAAAAAGCTTCGTGCTCGAGCATCTGGCTTAGCTGATAGAGAGGTCTGCACCTGAGCACGTCGATACCGCTGCTGCTGCTCGTAATAATGGGGCGGACAATCGATCTTTTTTTCGACACGACGAGGCGGATGCTACGCCTCTCGCTTGTAAAACATGGATTTGACCACAGCGCCAATCAAAATTGAGCAAGAACCCTTTCCATAGCCGTGGCATACTGGAGACATCTTCAGGGGGGTGGCGCAACCAACGGACCATGTCTGCCTGTATTGTCGCATTGGAAGTCGTTGCCAAGGACAATATTGTAAGGGGGAGGGGGGGATAAGCCGCCAGCAGACAAATGAAGGACACGGGATTGAGTAATTCTACCCCCCCCCCCCCCCAACAAATTGGCCCTTTCTTCGGCTATCGCTTTAGTCCCGTTGTTGAAATCCCTCCCCATCCATTCTCATCAGAGTCGAATGCATCATGCTTTTTTTGGCCTGCAGACATTCCGTCGCGTGTCTCGCGGTGCGGCTTCTGCGTCTCATTATCCCTTCACATGATGGTCCGCAGCAAGGCCCCTGAGCATTCGAAGAAGAAGAAGAAGAAGAAGAAGAAGCTTCACCCTGCTGAGCACCCAGCCCGCGACGGCGGCTCATTAAACAGGTAAAAAATCCACCCTCTTCATCCACAAGATTCCCTCCGCTTACACAGGAAACCATTCTTCCTAAAAACTCCCCCCCAAGTTCCTCACGAAGAAAAATTCCAAATCCTGCAAGCGCAGCCCCCACGGGCCGCGAAGAGGATACCTCCCTGATTCTGCATCGCTGTGCATTCGACGTGGAAAAGAGGCCGAAATTTTAAGCTCGTGAAGACGCGGAGCATTTTTGTCGCAGTAGAATTTCCGCGCGCCGGGGAGGCGCAGGTTGAGGTCTGTGGCGACGACGTTGTATTGCCAGTGGTCGGAGGAGGAGGAAGGCCGTGTTGGGTCGGCAGGCTGGAAAGCGGCTGAGCAGTGGGCTTTGCGCTTGACGTTTGGTCGCGGGGAGTCGGTTCTCTTGATCTGGATCATCTGATGAGAGCCGAGAGAGCTGTTTCCATTTCCCTTCGCGTGGCCAGCGGAGCGGCGGACGTCTGGAGACTTCCCGGGGCCTGACCTCTCGCCGAAGACGTCTGATATTGATATGGCGGCAGAGGGGAATCCGGCCGATGATGATGTACGTACGGCGGAGCATTCTCACGCGAACGGCACTGCCAGAGATTCATCGGCATCTCCCTCCGCAGGTCGTTTGTCAACCTTTCAATATCCTCAACCTGGCCGCGGTCCCCCTTTATCGTAAAAGTGACGCGGGTCTTATCCGCGCTGGAAGTGCATTGCGCCTCGCCGTAGGTCTTGTAATACCTCGTCGACAGCACTTTTCGGAGGATGGCGCAGGCGGAACTGCGTCGCAGCTTGCCTGCGATGCCCTTTTGGAAGCCGTGCACTTGGACTTCGTACTCCCAGTGCTCGCCGTAGTCGTTTTGTTGTGCTTGTCTTGGACGAGACAACTTCCAAATGGGGTTTCCTGGGAGGCCTGAGATGCCGGAGCTTCCGCTTCCATCCTCCTGACCAGCGTGGCAGGCGATGGGGAATTTCCAGAATCCCGTCGAGTCTCCTGGCGCTCTCCATTCGACTCAATGCTGCGCGCCTCAACAACCGTAGCAGACCCACCACCGCCATCAAGAATCCGGCTGTCCAGCATTCCGTGACCTTTCCGCAAGACCAGCTCGCCGGGGAATCCGGCGTGCCGTCCCACGCATACGCTCACCGTAATGCGTATCCCGCTTTTCGACCCTCTGAGATCCCGCATTCTGGCCCTCCTTCGCGGTGATATTCCAAGTCAAATAAGAAGCCCCCCGACCCAGCAGGATCCATCCCCGGCCCACTCGCCACATCCCCTCCTCCTCCTCCAGCAGGTCCATCATCCTCATCCTCATCTCTCCTCTCCACTCTCTTCCCACAAAAAACCCCCTCCCCCTCCCCCACCTCCGCAAACCACCGCCTCAAAACCCCAAGGACCCGAACAACCCTCCATTCCCCGTCTCCTCCCACCCCATCCCCCCCATGAAAATCAAACCTCACCCTCACCCGACTCCCCCCGCCATCAAAACCCCCACAACTCCAACCCCCGACATCACTCCCCTCCAGCCGGCTCAGCTCCGCATGCAAGTAAGGACACCTCGCATCGAAAACAGCCGTCCACTGACTGATCAACCGTTTCGGAGCGAGGAGGAGATCGAGCGTCGTTCGATTCTGAGAGAGGTGATGGTGGGGGGTGAGGGTGCAGGTGCCGGAGTAGAGGTTGGGGGTTTTCGTCGTGGCGGGTGTTGGTGGTGGGGATTTGTGGTGGAGGGGAGCGCCGTGGAGGTTGAAATTGAGGAGGGGTTTGATCCTGCTAGAGCTGCTACTGCGAGTAGCGGTTCGGAAAGAGAAAGTACTCGGGGAAGAAGCTAGGAGGAGCAGGAGGCCCGAGCCAAGGAGGAGGAGGAGGAGAAGGAGGAGGAGCGGCGACAAGGGACGGGTGGAGGGAGATCTGGGAGGCATGGTTGATGCTGCTGCTGAGTGCCTTGATGGATTTCAGTGTCTGCGTGTTCTGGTGTATACAATAATACCCTGGGTAGGCGAAGACCTTCAATGATAGAGCCTCTCCAACCCACACTGCAGTCTCATGATCAGCAAGTCCACAAGGTCACCAATCTGCCGACTCACCACACCTCGAGACCACTTCGCTGGCCGTTTGTCAACGCTGTGCCCTTGTCACTTGCTATCATGCTGCCCAAGCAAGCACAGCATGCCTCCTCAACAAAAGACCAGCAGCCAGAGAAAGGAAGCACGGAGAGTCGACCTCATTCCAGAAGATTCCGATACACATGATTTATTCACATCCTCATCCAGCCTAATTACATACACAACGCCTCGAGGGCAGAACGTTCACATGACTTCTCTCCGTCCAACTCCAGCCTCTCTTCCCAGAACCTGTGCTTTGGGGGGGGGGGGGGGGCGAATAATGTCGAAATTTTACGGTAAAGTAACCAGGTCGAT